GTTTTCAGAGGCTTAAGAAACATGTTAGGGTGGGAGGTGGAGAACTACTTTCTCAAATAAAGAAATATGGCAAAAAATTCCTAAAGATATCTTGACAATGACCCACACTTTGGTGCTGATTTTGCTGGAGCATTCAGATGTATGATCTTTTAGTTTTCTGTTCTCTCTCATTGTTTAACTTTTCTCTTCAATTCCAACCTTTTTCTTGCTAGTGTTTGGATTTGTGTTCCTTCCATATTGTATACTTTTTAGCTCACTTGAACCAAAGGTTTCTTTCAGCATACATCATTGTGCAGTAGACACAGTGCTGTATCCGTACAAAGGGCCAGAAACATTTTTCTCAGATTTGAAACTTCTGTGAAGTTTGTTTTCAGTCTCAAAGAATATGATTGCAAGGGCCTCCTCATATTGTATGTGCCTTATGTTGTTGCCATGTAAGCTATGTACTGTTTAAGAATGGGTTGGATTTAATGCTGAGTTTAGCAATATTCCAACAATATCAATATCAGAAGAGACTCAATATGGGTTTCTCACATTGTTCCCATGTGGGGAATGGAACCTGGATCTTCAAATGACAAGCAAATGCTTTAAACACAAGGCTGCACCACCACCTCTATTATATAGAAGCAGGTATAGGTGACAGTATTCTGAAGCAGTCACACAATGGTGTGTATTGGTATGACAAACTCATGATTATTGCCAAAACTCATACATTAGCAAATAATGTCTTGAAACAAATGCTTAAATGATGCTAACATACAAAAATCAAAAGCTATGATATATTTTCTTATATTACCAGTATTGCAAAAAAATGATATTTTTTGCAATGTTACCTCTTAATGTCATAAAATTATCATCTGCATTGATCTACGTATCTACCACATAGATCAAAATAGTCTTTCTAGACTGGCACTTCCTTTAATTTATGTATATAAACACTAGCTCTATCTAGTTTTCTCTTTCATGCTATTTTCTGTGTATAAACATGTACTGAAAAGATAAAAATAAAATGAAAATACATTTTCTTAGCAAGAGGTGTCCTCTATCTGTTAGATGTGATACCTTCCAAGTGAAATTCAAAAGAATTCCTAATTGGTTTTAAAGCTATATAGCAGGTGTTGTACAGGGTATCTGTCAGAGATTTTGAATTAAATTGTTGAAAAACAAAACAAAATTTATAAAATTCCAGAAAAGTTTATTGTTGATCAAGATACAGAAAATGGGTACCCATTGTCTGTTTTAGATCAAACCCACAGCCTCTGTTCACTTTATTTTATGGACACCTGAGATTGTACTCTCATTAGAAAGACAGTTGAAGTGTCCAAACAAGTAATCATGAAGGGAACAAAACAATCACAAAATATTTCTTTTTCATGAAACATTTACAACACTGTATGCTCAGCTAATGTTCTTGATTGTTGATTGCAGTAAAGATGGGGTAGATATATTAACTTTGATTTTGAAGGTTTCTGTAAGGACATTACGCTTAGTCTCTGAATATATATAATTTTGATAGTAATAAACAAACCCATTCAAATTGAAAAGGAGCCCCGGGGAGACCAGGGATTCAGAACCTGAGGAAATCTAGACTTGCTTCAGTTAGGGCTTTAGCATTGCAGAGAGGGCTAGGCAGTAGGGAAAATAATGTTCATATCATTATTGGTTCAGGGACTGTCAGGTTTTGAGACAGACTATGTAGGAATGTTCATATCATTATTTAATCAGGAACTATTAAATAGCAGTGCTGCACCATATTTTGATAAAGAAGCTGTCAGTCTTAACATTTTGAAGTGTAGAGCGAATACCAAGGTGAGCCAAAGTGTTAAGAAACTACAGGCATTCTCGCCATAATCGCGGGTCTTAGGGTCCATGGATGACCTCCAGTGTCATGAGACACCCATGTTATGCATAACACGGAATAAATGCCAAGTAAAATCATGTTTTCCATGTGTATTGTGTCCAGTCAAAACTATGTTGTATCGTCGGAGGTGGACAAAGAAACTTTGTAAATGAAAACAGGATACTTGCAATCAAACATAAATAGACATGATAATTCAATTGTTGTTGATGTTATGCTACCTGTTATTCAACTAAGCTGGAAACAGCAATCAGCTGTGTACACGTTTTGTTCCACCCTACCAGTGATTCAGTTGAAAAACGATCCGAAAATATATTTTTAACGAATTTCTATTCCATTATCAGAATATATTTTAAGCAGTTATTTTAACAGGGATAATATATATCGCTATTATTTGTAGTATAATGTATTTTTTATGTACATATGTAATATAATAATTAACATGGGGCTTAGCACTTTAAGTACATAGCTGGATACATTTTCTGTATGGGACAGATTGAAAAGTCACTGTTAACTTCCTGCTGTACATATCGGATCTCAAAACAAAAAGTCTGGCAATTAATTGACAAATATGACTTAAATGAGTCCATAACGCGGAGCACCTTTAAAATACAGCACCACAACTTCTCGTGAGGACGATCCCTGCCGTAGGTCACGTGTCATTAAGACAAGCAATGAGTTTGTTAGAACCCGTCGGACGCGAACCCGCAACCTTTGGATTGTTAGCTCGACAGCTAACCAACTGAGCTACATCCACACTGTTGCACAATGTGCAAGTTTATTGAGTAATTCCTGTGACGCCACAGCTTTTAATCTCACGGACAATTGCCGAATGGACCCAATGCCATTTGGCGCTTTTGCATGCAAGATATGAATGAGCCGCGCTTTTATATAAATTGGTGATTTTGTGACTGAAAAGTGATGTAGGGAACACTGTAAGGATAATGTTGATCGCACTAAGGAACGAGGGAGACATGAGCATGTGTAGTGATGGCACGAGGGTGAGTTAGCCTTCAAATTATTACTGAACAAATGTTGCTGCGTGTGAAAGAGGCTTGAGTGCAAATTCCAGGACAATTTCCATTAGCCCAAAATTTCTACATTTAACCATTTCATAGTGTACTTTCGACGTTTTTGTGTGAAAAAAGTATTAAAATGCAAATGGAAAAACAACAAATGGTACTCACGTATTACACCGGACATGTACCTAATATATTGGATAAGGTCCCTAACCCTAACCCTAACCCTAACCCCTAACCCGAACCCGAACCCGAACCCCTTGAAATAATCCTAATAAATAAAATGTATTGACTGATCTGGCACAAACATGACTGACATGTACAGTGTAAGGTAATGCATTATTACCGCTTCAAACAATAAAATACTAATAAAAACCTTTCTATGTAATGGTTCAATTTACTGAATGAAAAAATATATATATATGTCAGTTCACATTGGTAAGTCATTTAGACATAATAGTTACTTAGAAAGCCGAAATGTAAAATATATTTACATAATTTAAATAATTACATTGATCAAAATTGTGAATAATCGAAGATATATAATATAGACCAGTGTAACGCATTCTCGCTAAATTTAAAAAATACAATAATAAACAAAACATTACACCTCAGCACCCCGTAATACAAATAAATATGAGCGTATTTGTGAAAAAAGAAAAATATTTCAAACTGATGCTTGCAAAAAAAATGCACATCCGACGGTATACAACTACTTAATATTGTGGACGAAATTCCTCCCATGTAAGAATTGTAGTGGGCAGAGCTCCTAGTGGGAATAGCTCCTGTGGGGACAGTTCCGTACACCATGTGGGTACACCATGTTGTACACATATAGGAAGAGGTGAAATAAGCATTTTCACAAATTTTTGCTGATGTTACTGTAAACAGTTTTTAAATTTATTTCAATATAATGAATTCTGGTAAGATTGTTTTATTATGTGTTTTCTGACATCATATGTTCGGCTGTCTGTGTGATTAATCAAGAAAACCCTGAATGTTTCTGAAGCATCTGAAAACCAATAATACGAGGATATGTACAATGAACACTTTCTATTACCATCTGCACAGAATTTCGTTAGTTTACAATATGATTAGTCTGAGAACAACCACATATTTGTTGCATAGGTATTGCCGATGATGTGAAGATATGTGATCGCTGGGGAACTTTGTTTTTTTTTAGTGGGAGCCACCGATAATGCCGCAGTTTATCTGAAACCACGGTATCGCGAAGAGCATTACTGCAAGGGATGACTGTATTTCCATTTGATTCAAATGCGTTAATATTATACATAGTAAACAACTGTTGTATTAAAAGCCAAACAGTCTCAAATTGCTGCCTTGAACTCTTAACATGTATTGAGTTAGCTTCTTGCCAATCTGTTATCGCTGAATCAGTTAATTATTGCCAAAATACTGAAGCAAATAACAAAACTAAACAGTTATGCAGTTTAATAATAGCGAAGACATATTATCTTATTTATGTTTATCTGAATGTGTTACATTAGCTGAAAATATGTTTATACAGCAAACAATACTTGAATTATTTTGGTTTGAAAAAGGTATGACTAAGAAGTTCATCAGTGTATATTGAAACCTCATTATTCCATAATATGATACAACAAAAAAAAATGATTTGGGTTTTAACTATCATTTATTCTGGGTGTCTGGTTAAAGTAATTTAATTGAGACAAGATAATGTATGTTTTCTGGGTGTCTGGTTAAAGTAATTTAATTGAGACAAGATAATGTATGTTTTCTGGGTGTTGGGGTAAAGTAATTTAATTGAGACAAGATAATTTGTGTTTTCTGGGTGAGCGTTACAAATAATGTTGCTTGAGATATTTTTTCAGTTCACAGAAATTTAGGAAAATTCATTATATGCAAATGTTGAGGCTGTTTTTAAACAAAAATAGCCAGTTTTGCATATCCATGCTGTCAATTTGATATGATCCCCTCATAAATGAATACTTTTCTTGTTATGAAAATAATATTATAGATCTGTGAATATAAGTAACTGAAAAAAAAAGAATTTATCAGATTATTTGACTGACTTTCTGGTCATTCTGATGTCTGTTATTGTGGGAGAACAGTAAACTGAATGCCATTGTGTTGTGTTGCAGGCTTGATATCTGTTGTTGGCACTCTGGACTATGAAGAAGCAAAGACTTATCGCCTTACACTGCGGGCCACAGATGCACACACAGGAAGTTATTCAGAAGCCATTGTGTTTGTTCACCTCAATGTAAGTTTTGAAATATGCATATTTATAACCTAAATCATATTCACTGGATCCATATTTTTGGGTACATATAAATTGATCCTTTTACTATGAAAGATGGGTGGAATTGTTTTCATTGTAATCTTTGGCTGTGAACAGTGATTTCTTATTTGCTGATGAACAGATCTTTGACTGGATTTTTCTTAAAACTAAAACTAATGGTATCTGACTAGATTTACATGGTGGTATATAATAGTTCCTGAAACTGGTGGTACACAGACTGGTTCTGTAAACCCATGTCTATTTCAAGCCATAGAGGGATAATGGAAAGAATACATTTTTCTCTTACTTTCAGGACATCAATGACAATGCACCAGTATTTGAAAGCCAAAGTTATACAGAGGCTGTGAGAGAAGGGGTTGCTATTGGAACAGAAATCTTATCAGTGAAAGCAATTGATCAAGATGTTGGTCTGAACAGCTTGGTTCATTACAGCATTGCACCAATTTCTATGGCCCATGAAGATGTCCATTACTTTCACATTGACTCAGAAACAGGTGTAATTATTTCAAAGAAGAAATTAGACTTTGAGAGACGGTCTGATTTCTACTTTTTGGCAGTAGCTATTGATTGTGGTATTCCAGCTCTGAATTCTACAGTGGTTGTTCATATCATTTTAATGGACCTGAATGACAATGCACCACATTTCAGCAGGACCTATTATGAATGCAGCATCACTGATCAAGCAAAGCGGGGTCAGCTTGTCACAAAGGTGTTTGCATATGATGATGACCAGTCAAACAGTGGATCTCTTTTCTATTCGCTTGTCGATGGTAATGAGAGGAAGACTTTTGCGATCGATTCCAGTTGTGGTTTAATTACAGTTTCACAATGGCGAAAACCAGATTTTGAGTCCTTATACATGTTGAATGTGTCGGTGACTGATGGTGTGTATACCAGCTATGCAAGAGTCACGGTGACTGTGAGAAATACCAATAAGCATGCTCCAGTGTTTTCTCATGCTGAGTACTTTACAGAATATTCTGAGATCAATGGAAAAGGGATGCCTGTGTTGACAGTATCAGCGACAGATGAAGATCGTGGCACATATGGCCTCATGACCTACACAATACCTAGTGACAGAATGAAAGAAATTTTCCACATTGATGCAGACTCAGGTGAGTAGTACAGTGTGTCTATCATAATCACATTTCATTCAACTTGACACTACTCACTTGTTCATGGCATTTAAGTTACAAATTATTGTCTTTCAGTCATTCATGAATGTAAGAAACATAGGGACTTGAGCTTGTGGCATGGTGCAAAATTGAATGAAAATGTCAATCAAATTGTGAACAATCTTTAAGTACATACATACATATATATGCACGCACGCACGACGACGCATGCACTTACATGCATACATACATACACACACACATACATACATTCTACATGCTCTGAAACATAGAATTTTCGCCTTAGATATCATTTTCAAGACTCAGAGATGAAACTCAAATGTGAATAGCCTTTTTCATGGAATTGAAAAATGATGCTATTTTCATTATACTTCAGCATCCCTATTTCAAGGTGGTGGGTGTTTGTGCAAACAAAGCAGTGGTTGGATATCTTAGGGACATCAGCTTCATATGTATCTCCCTTTAGTACAATAGAAGTTGACGTCCTAAAGAATTAACTCGGACGATTGTGATAACAACTGAATTATTACACAAAATCAATCCTCCTTGTGCCTTAGTTGTGTATGCCCGAGAAAAATCAAGTTGGCAGAATTCTTCTGTTTTTTAAGGCTCCCAAAGATTTCCCTGAGCTAAATTTTCAACAAACCATACATAAACAGTTGGGAAAGAAAATTCTGTTGCCAAGAAACAAACACATCAGCCATATCTCCTACTTGACTTACACTGGGAGCCAGTCTGACAGAGAATCAGCTGTGAGGTTTTGTGTCATGTCTATCAATGCTTATCTGAGGATGCTCCACAGTATCTGATTTGATCAAAGAATACAAACCAGCAAGATCACTGAGGCTGGAAAACTAGATTCTGTTGAAATATCTGAACTAATTTCAATGATCTTTTATTTATGATGCAGCAACAGAGTGGAACAATAAATGATCTCCCCTTACATTGCCAACTTTCAATTTCTTCAAATTTAACCTGAAGACCTCTCTACTTCAAACTTCTTTCAAGACTGATTTTGTATCTAACTACTTAGTGTGCTGAGAGCATGCATTGAGCATTGATTAATGCTCTTTATGAATTATGTTTTACAGATGAAAATATAATGTAGCAGAGGGAGTGTTGTTTTTCCTGGAACATCAGAAGCTCAGGTACCCTTGTCGCTCTACATGCAGTCCAGACAGCACATGGGACATTAAGAACTTTCTGGAGACAATAGAAACTCCAACTCAGCAGACTTCTGCATTACTCAGTGTCAGAAGAGCTGTGCTTCTGGTGGAGAACCGGGCACTCTTCTGATGTGCGCCAATCAGTTTGACAAGGTTCCCTCCCTGTAACATCTGATTTAGATACACTTCTACTCCAGAGTTGTTGAAGCTAAAGTTTGTCATGAAAGAGGCCTTATCTGCGTCTTTGAAGCCGTTGGCAGATCTCATAAAAGTGACTAGCAGGTCGAATCATAGCATTATCACAGGAGAGACTCAGCAGAGCAGGATATATCGCCTCCACCGCAGAGTTCTAGGCTGTAGCCTAAGTCACAGCTGAAGTCTACGTCACACCTCAGCAAATGTTTGCCCAGGCTATCAGTATATGGACCAATACTCACACATTGCTCCAACTTCACACAGCTGCACACGGTGAAATTCATGGACCAAACAGACCATAGAATGACTACTGATAATACTCTAGAGAGATAACAAGATCAATTCTAAAAGTACATACTTGGGATTCTAACAGTAAGTGCTTGCAAACCAGCACCAACAACATGGACTACATGGATCATAGGAGCCGCTTCGACAGCTTTCACAGCAGGCATTGTGCAGCTAACACAACCTGGAAAACGGACCACGACTTTGACTATGAACAACTATCATGTAAGGAAGGTGCGGTACTTTCCATGCCAGTAATTCAGGGTCCAGTGAGGGACTGTCAGATTTTGCGGACAAATGGAAGATCATCACAACCGACCAGCAGATCCTCAGAGTAATCAAGGATAGATATCGCTGACAATTTGACAAGTGGTCCCCTTGTTGACACACCCAGTAACACATTGTTATTAACTCCAGGACCCCAAGGTTTCAGCGGCAATGACAACCTTGGAAAAGCTCTTAGACAAGAAGGCTGTCATCAACATGGACTCTTCGGTATTCCTGGTCCCCAAGCAGGATTCAACAGAACTCAGAATGATCATCCTTCTGAGATGACCTCCCATGCCGGATGACAATTCAGTTTGCTGCTGTTCGGGATATCTGAAGGTCCATGGTTATTCACAGTCATCACATCACCAGTCCTGGTTTAACTGGATCTACTCCATATATGGATTCACGGATACATTGACAAGAAAGCCTAGATATACATAGGAGTGACATTGGACTCCGTCCAGGGTTTAGTTTATCCTCCACAATATCAGAACCAAGAATCTGTTCTCTCTTCACATTCTATGTCAATGGAGACGAACTGAGTCACATTCACAATTCAAGAACTTGCTCAAAACCTACTTCTTCAAGATGGCTTCTGAATAGAACTCTTTTCACACTTATTGTGTTTTTAACGATGTTATGCAGCGCCGTTGAGCATCTATGATGGAAACTAGGCGCTATACAAGCCAATTATTATTATTATTATTATTATTATTATTATGTAGCTACTGGGAGCACTCACATGAGTGCAGGATCTAACATCCAGAGGCCATCTGCATCTCATGTACATACAAGATTGGATCAACCAGCATCGAGGGACACACCTAGGCTCTTTCATAACACATATGTGTTCAGGGACCTTGCATGGTGGAACATTCATGGCAATGTTGTCCATGGGACTCTAGTAAGGATCCTTCAACCAGATCGTCACCTATTCATTGATGCATCACACACAGGATGTGGTACCCATCTGGGCCTAGCTTTTCGAATCTCTGTTAGCGTTAAGATAGTCGTAAGTGCCATACATCAACATTAACTTACGACTATCTTAGCGTTAAGAGAGCTTCGAAAATCTATGTCCTGGACAACAAGACCATGTCAGGATCGATTCTCCAGTTCATATCAACATGTTGGAGATGAAGGCCATTACCCTAACTATTCAGCACTGGGTACTGCACCTATAAAACACCTCTCTACGTGTCACCGTAGACAAATCTATGACCATGATATCACAAGCGTTTCAATCTACAGTGTTAATCCCGCAAATCCGATGAGGAATCCTCAGATGACTGTACCTATTGGCACCAACATGGCTGACCTAAGGAGAAAGCATCTTTATCGTACCTGACATGGAAAACTGCTCTTGTTATGGTGTTATGAGAGCGTGTTTTTTGTAATTTGTATATCACAATGATTAGGTGATAATTATTGTGGCTCACAATGTTTAAAGTTTTGAGTGTGGTTTTTCCATTGCATCTCACATCATATATGTTCAATGGCAATAGTATTTTTAGCGGTAAGCCTTTTGAGATAGCACTTCAGAGTTGCCTCCCTTGACTGGCTTTATTTTTTTTTAACTTCTGGTTGTATGTTCGAGAAAATCGCCTAATGTTCTGAGTGGATAATGATGCTGCCTAGCTTTGCTATAATGCTCGAGAACCGTGTAAGAGCTATAAAACGGCTGGTTGTTACGTTGTGCGACAGACTTTTCATATGACTGGAGTTATACACATCTATCTGCCATAGTAGGTTGTTTAACATTCAAGACTGACCGTGCTGCTCGTCTTTATTCAAGTGTTGAACAACCTTCAATCAGTATATCTGCTCTCATTGTAAATGTCAAAACTCTGGTGAGTTGATATCTTATAATTGTGACCCAATATTTTAGATTTGTTACTTAATTGCATTGTACTGGAAATTTGTATTGTCATTCATTGTTGCTTGCTCATTGTTTTTTCAGTATATTATTAAATAAATATTAGATTGTCTGTGTTCTATTTTGCTGGTTCAAAGGGGACTCTTAAACCTTTTGTCACGGCAAATTATTAACCGTAACAATGGCATCTTGGGTTTGGGAACTTAAGGATTGGATGTTCACTCAATTGTCTTTATGAAAAATTCAGCAATTATTCAAGTACTGTCAGAGTTCTTCACCAAGAACGAAAAGATGTCGATGGAATATTTGGGACAACAATTGTTCACTATCCCAGCTCTTGCCTCTACGTTCATCATGAGTTACCGGGCAGGGTGCTATGCCCAGTTAGAGCTCTTTAATTTTTTTTGCTTAAGACAAGCTCCTTTCGTTTTGGACACCATCTGTGGTTATCTTACTAAGGACCATCAGACAGTGATATTACAAAAAGTACTGCCATGGCTTAAGAAAACAATTGAACTGACATTGTGATGGCACAGCTCCAATGCATCCCCACATCTTTATGAAATAACAGCCATTGCTTTGTCGTAGTATCACAACTGAGGTTGGTTGTTGTGAACTTGGAAACACTTCTTGCCGCATTAAGTCAGTATCACAAATGGCTTATATCCATTCAGGGATTTTCAGAAAAAATGTCATATGAAGTACCTTTAACCAGGAATTGATATCATTGTCCACAATTATAAATAATACAGCAGCAAGAAAGATTCTCAAGTATTGTCACAACAACCAAATGCAGGTCTAATTGACTCGGGGCGGTGGGGTAGCCTAGTGGTTAAAAGTGTTGGCTCGTCATGCCGAAGACCCGGGTTCAAATCCCCACATGGGTACAATGTGTGAAGCTCATTTCTGGTGTCCCCCGCCGTGATGTTGCTGGAATATTGCTAAAAGCGGCGAAAAACTAAACTCAGTCAGTCAGTCTAATTGACTCATCTGTCACACTGTATGTTTATTGTTGTCTTCTTTGCTTATATTTGGGGTACTCTGGGCCCACCAAGCCTTGTGTGGGGTTCAGCAATCAAGTGTTAGGAGGACGTATTCTTAAGAATTTTGAACATTATCAACAATGACAATAACTGTCAGAATACTACCTCTAACACTTGACTGCCTCTGTGGTGTAGTGGTTAGAGCGTCCGCCCTGAGAATACTACCTCTAACACTTGACCGCCTCTGTGGTGTAGTGGTTAGAGCGTCCGCCTGGAGAGCGGAAGGTCGCGGGTTCGATCCCCGACCGCGTCATACCAAAAGACGTTAAAATATGGTACTTGTTGGGCCCTGCCTGGCGCTCGGCATTAATGGGTACAACAAGGACTGGTTGGCTCGGAGTCAGTATAATGTGTCTGAGTAGGGTATTCATGCTCCACTGCGGCATGGTATCTCAGTGGGCTAGCACTATAAAACCAGCGTAAGTCTGGGCTAGTACAAGCAGCCGCACATACACATACACACGCATGCACGTCGTCATATGAGTGAAATATTCTCAAGCACGACGTTAAACCCAATTTCATCTCACCTCACCTCTACATTCTCTCTCTCCTTATCTTTTTCTCTCTCTCTCTCTCTCTCTCCTCCTCCCCTCCCCTTCCCGCCCCCAAGGGAAAAAATATACATGAGAAAAAAAATGCATTATACCAAACAACAACAAACCTACCAAGCATTTAATGACAGAAATAAGAATCAAGGTCAGATTAACCAGAAGAGCATTGTTGTGGAAGCTGGAGACACAAGGCTGTCTCAAAGTTGCTGAAGTTTGGTTTGACAAGTTTTCCATTTCCACATTCTTATTTCCGTGTTTAATTAATTAAGTGTTTATTATGCTCTTTAGTGTCTTATCATTTAAAGTGAACATAATTTCAAAACTGTTTTCTTCTTTAATAGGTGAGATGTTCACAAAGGAGGAGCTTGACCGTGAGAAGCAAAGCTTATATGTGGTACCAGTTGCTGCTACAGACAATGGGGGACAGATGGGATTTTGTTCAGTTCACATTACAGTTGGGGATTTCAATGACTGTATCCCTCACTTCCTTGTCACCAATTACCAGGGCAACGTGTTTTCCAATGCCACAATTGGTCAGCATGTCTTGCAGGTATAGTCATGGACTTTGTATTAATAAACTTGTTGTTCTGTCTGTTGTCAACAGGTGTAATATATTGTAACTTTCTAAATGTTAAAGTTACGATATGGTAGTTTCACTATCTCATTCTCTCTTTAGCAACAAATCTGAAACTTGACACATTTCTTCTTTTTCGTTAACTGTCGCTGAAGAATCATTGTACCTTTTGTTTTGGGGTGAGTTTTTTTGTTTGTTTTTGCTTCATTTCTTAGAAATGAGTTCATTATTTTTATTAAGATAGGAAATATATCAGGATAGTTATGTATAGACAGGCTTGAAAAGGCCTTGAAAGGTCACTGGTATCTTGAAAAGTTTTTATTTTTTATTTTGCTATAATGAGGCCTTAAAGTCTGTTAATGTTGGCCTACCTATAGAATTCTGCAACACAAACTTTACAACAACAAAATCAAAACTCACTGACATAATATGTGAAATGTTCATAGTTGGATACACTGATGACACCATGCCAGGCAACATTAGTGTAACAACAAGGAAGCTTCATCATCATTTATCTTACCTCACACATAAATGTCGCTTTCTGATTGGCTGAGCGCTCTTCTATTATTTTCAATGTACCCCGCTTACAAGCGAGTAACATTTCAATGTACCCTGCTGTCAATGGCAACTCATTTGGTACTTCGTGGTAATAATTATTTATCTCGAATAACATTGAATCACGTATGATGTACGGATATTACCGATGTTTTGCGAATGCAAATCGATGGAAGGGAGATAACTCTAAATCTATTTTTCTTGTCAGCAAAATCTAGCGATGGCTACAAAAAGATTTGTACCCGTGCTTCAAACAATTCAAAATTAACAATAAGGTGTTCCCTGAGCCCGAATGGCGAGGGGAACATAAACAAACATCGAGGGTACATCATCCCATGCCCCTCGTGACAAGTGAACAACTTATAATGTGCTTAAGTTCCTCATAGTGAATTAGTCAGCAGTGTTGGAGGGTTCTGTATTTGTTTTGTTTTTTCAAATCTTAAATACATTTTTTTCAGTTTCAACTGCATTCATGGCAGTCATTTTTCCAATCTTAGTACAATGTGTGAAGCCCATTTCTGGTGTCCTTCAAGGTGATATTGCTTGAATATTTGTAAAATGGCGTAAAACTAAACTTACTCACTCAGTTGTTCATTCTTGGTATATTTGTAGTAACTTTCAGTGCAATAAGGCTTTGATTTTGATCATTTGAGTCTGTTATGTGGAAATACTTTCGATGTCATGATTGTGATGAAATATTCTGGTAAGGAGAGGTTTTATAACCTGTATAATTTATATGTTGTATACAGTGGTTAACATTTGATCACTTACAGGTAAAGGCGACAGATGAAGATGCAGGCATTAATGGAAAGCTTGTCTATTCACTCTATCCAAACAAGGAGGCTTTCAACCCATTTCATCTTGACTCAACAACTGGACTTATCACTGTGAATGGAGATCTCTCACAATCAGGTAAACATAACATTTGTTTCAACTTTTCTTTGTGCCATACACATTCTTTTATGTTGGTAAGTTCGATAGCTGGCTAGGCATCTTGTACATGTTAGATTAACCCATTCAACACCGCAGGCCGAATAATCGGCCACAACGTTATGAGTCCCCAGACACCGGAGGCCGATTAATCGGCCAGGCAGTAGTCACGTCAAAATGAGACATAATTTTAGGAACCTACCTGACTTTTGATTCATATATCAAATCTATCACATTTCACAATGTCTGAAAACACTTATTAAATTTCAATTTATCATATATTATCAGCAGAATTAAAATTATAAACTATTTTTCGCAATATTATTGAAAACAACGATTCTCGGACACATGCTTCCGCAGCGGGTCCACAATAACATTGTCAAAAAGCAAAGTAACGATGTTTCGAGGAAATTATTAAATAAATTGAATAAACTAATGAATAAAATCAACAACAGCATTCATAAAAGTTGTCAAAGCGTACATATAAAATTACTATTTCCATCTTTTTGTGCGATCATGTAATGCAAGTCAAGTCACTGACAAGTGATATCTCGCTCGCCGCCTCAATCTTCATTTCGGACACGATGTTTAATGCAAAAATACATACATGAAGCATTTTTGTCACAGGTCATAACCTAGCACGATCACGTCCAATAAGTTCCATAATTTATTATTGGTAGCGATTTCTTGCTTAATATGTTCAGAATAGCATTATTTTACCCAAAACTTTTGTCCAAATCTAAAAGATTTCGTTTTACGAGGGACGGTATCCATTGCCGTAATATGATTGGCTGCCTTAGGTCCGCGTGTCTGATTTTGACCAATCACAACCCTTATAGCAGACTGTGGCGAAAAAGCGTCATTAGAAACCAATCTTTATCCAATAAAATCGCTTCTTACAACTGTGAAAATACTCTTGGCAAGGGTACAGTGATATTGTTGATGTTCAGAGCTTTTCGACGATGCCCGACATCAAACGATTTTGCAGCATGTTATTCATCTGAAGCTTTGAAAACGGAGGTATTTTCAGTTGTTATGTCATTTTACCGAGAGGAAAGCCGCAGATATCGGGAAATAGGCAACCATACATATTGTTTAAGAAATCTTTTTATAATAATTTTCTGATTACGTAAAAATGAAAATATAAAAGAAAAAAGGCACGGGCAATTTATGACATGTCACAAATGGAAAAAATCGCCATAGTTTTTGCTCCTTTCGTGGTTTATCTGGACGTTACAAATGTAAGCTTGCATTTTCATTCAAATATAAATTTATTTAAGTTGTAGTTGTATTATTTGAATAATATTATAAAAATAAACTTCATATTTATCAACAGTAGGATTAGATCTTTTAAATGGTGTATGGGATGTAGTAGCAATAACGTTTTACAAGCTTATAATTTCCTTCACAAACATAGGCTTCATCTATGACCTCAGAGTCTCTGGGAACTCGGTGTCATGGCAGTAAATGCCTCTGGTTGACTGGTGTTGAAAGAGTTAAAGCTTAGACAGTGTCTCTTCCAGATGTTAACTTGTGAGAGGTAACATGATGTAAATGTCATATGTAAACACCAATCAATGCCATCACTAATTTGTCAGCATGACATAACCTTCAGCTTCATAATTGGTTTCATTTATTGAGAGTTCGAGTTGAGCTGCATGATGGATGAGAAAAGTGAAAAAAAGGAAGATATTTTCAGGGATAAATAATATTTCTTTCCCAGTTGCTGATGATGACCAGAACCTCACTCAGTGGATATTGTAATTGATATCTTTTTCTATCAAAAGTAGAGTATTCCATGCTTTCAACCAGTTCCCAGAGAGACAGCCTACAACTCTCTCAGGATTAGTAAAAGAACCCTCAAATCTCTGTAATGTTTTTCTATATTTAAGTTCAGTATGTCTAGTGTTGGTTTCTGTTGAAAAAAGTATAAAAGGATTTCACTGAAATGCTTGATTGAGAATCCGAGCCATACCCAGTACCTATTCTCTTTGAGTATTGATTACATTTTCCCATTTATGAATATTGCAGTAGTTCAATAATAAAGAAATCTTTTAATAGTTCTTTTGGAAGGTTGTACACTTTCCTACAAGTTTTGATTGCATGCGATAACCTTGCTGCGGTATTTCTTCAATGCAGTTGGTGTCAGTGCCTTACTAATTATAAGTGTCTCCAACTCCTTCTTCACAGAAGACATATCTGCTGTACCTGCAGTTTCTCATGGTTCGGGCTGTTCATATTTTTCCATCATATACCAATGGATGAGCCTACTTGTAAAATGAAATCAACAACCCATTTTCACCTGCAAACTGGACTTTCTCTACCTGTTATTGTAACATCATCTACATTGTATACCCAGACAAGAAGTTTCCAATCCTCAAAGATGCTGTAGATACTAGATATGTTGCTCATAAAGAAAGCCATGGAGAGTCTGGGCAACTTCACTTGCAAAAAATTCAGTGCTTTCTTTCTTAAATCTTGAAATTTTCAAGACAATGGTTATTAGTTTCTTTTAATCCCTCTCCCGAACTACTTACAAGCACATCTCAAATGATGGTACTCTCGATTGTCTGCAAGGAATCTCATCTTTCAGATTGAGGACGTGTCTCATCTGTCATTAGTTCCCAGGTGGAACTTATCTGTGGTTTTGTTATGCCTCACTAAACCACCTCATGAACTGATGCAAAATACCCATATTACTTTCTTGGCACATAAAACAGCCTTCTTGATATCTGTGGATATAGCTTTCAGAGCCTCAGGGTGTACATCATTATCTGGAAGTTAATAAGATTGCCTTGTGTCAAGTTGCTGGACTGGTTCCATTTGATGATTTAGGTGTTTGGGGGGTGTTTATTTTTTGTTTTCAGGACAAGTTTGACTTTACTGAAAATGAGATTTTTTGCTCATTTCCTGATTATAAATTCCCAAAACATTTAATATTTCTTCATGAAACTGCCTATACAGATTAGTCTAAAATTGAACCTAGTGTCATTTGATAATTTGTGATATTGAAAAATACAAGACAACATTATTTCCTATTTCCAGCGAACCAGTAGTTGGGTATGTTACGCAGTGGAGTGAAACTAACTTAACTAAATGTGAATCTCACAGTAAACTAATAAGCCAACTGATATGTCAAAGAATGTAATCTTACCTAACACTAGTACCAGCCAAACTGTAGGTAGCTGTTGTGTCTTATTGCGAGGAATTGTTAAGACGTGTTGTACTGTTGATACGTCCTACCTGTATGAGCTATAATAATGAACAAGTCCTATTCTACGTCGTGAGATATCAACCCAGTCTCTCCGCAAACTCCAGTGAATCTGAAAGGAAACATTTTCCAAGTGGTCAACAGCATGTGGTCGGACAGCATGTGAAAAACCATACTTCTCACTGTTCTGCAGAGCAGGTTGTGTTCATGTGGACTGTTCCAACTGTCTTTAAATGTCTTTATAAGTTGCTAAAGTCACATTTCCAAATTGTACCAGACAAGGGGGATATCTCTTGTGATATTCTTGTGTAAAAATGTATGTTTAGTGGAAGTACTACAATCTTGGTTTGATTAAGATTATGGGTTTGTTCAGCTTGTATGAGCCAGGCAGGATGCATGGGGTGCAGAAACCCTAGCCTGCAGAGAGACCTCTACCATGACAGAAGAGGAAGCTTGTGCTAAGCTATGTTTCAGTGAGATGATTATAGCAGTATTAAATGTGTGAATAGACCCAACATTCACACAGCTTCTTGGGATCAGCTACTGATTGCAGCACAAGGGCCGACAGAACATGATGACAGGTTACTCATTGTTCGTGGTTTGTGTGAAGGATGTGGATCCACTGAATGGCTGCAAACTACGTAAAGCCTGTTCAGCTACAACTTGTAACCTACTCTTTAGCACCCTTACTCTGGCCAGTAGGACTCTAAAAGGCAGTCCTCATGCAATGCTTCCAATGGACATGAGGCTGACCGGCTTGACGTCTCTTTGTTGCTTTTTCAAAGGGATTAATCACAACCACAGCAATTGAGTATGCTTCAAAGGAGAAGAGGAAACAATTGATCATGTCTGTATGGACTTCTAAGTAACTAAGGTACTGGCATGTTCAAGACAGAAGTCAGCAGGTAAAAGTTTGAACACAGTTTATGCAAGTAGCTGCACCATGGTGTCTCAAAGGTAATGGGAGTCAAACACAATATCACTTCAACAAGCTCTCTTCTATTATCAGTGATAGTTCACAATTATGGTGAAAACCTTTACTAATTTGGTGTCCCTCAAAACCGAATGTGCAGATCTCACAGATACTTCTGCTGTTGTACCAATAGGATGACTATCTTGAGTGTGTTTGTGTGCAAAGTATTTTGCAACCAAGGGATTGTAAGCTTCAGTTGACAGATTCTATAGTATTAAGTGCAGATCCATGGCCAACGTTTGGAATTGAAGCAACTGGTTTGCTTGTTTGTGTTGTTTCTTTCAGCTTCCTTGAGCTACATGTGTTCTAGCTGTATTCACTATTTGTTATTGTTTGGGTTGGGAGTTGACATGAGCCTTTAATAACCTAACAATGTTTTCCACTCATGTTCATAGAGAACCTTTGTGGAAGCAACAATATGCATTGGTAATAGGTCAAGCTACTGTATGAGAATAGACTTTAGCATTCAGTGATTTCTGCAGATTGTTATCTTCTGATCACTAGGGTAAGAACTTTCCAACCAAATACAATTGCAATATATTTACATCAAAGTAACATTATTTTAAAAGGTTATGAGTTCACCAACATTTTCTACATTTCCAGTAAGAGGTAACTTGATGGACTGTGTTGTCAGGTGTTGCGACTTGGTTGATTGTCGATCATTGCACCCTTATAGTGTGGGAGGTTGATCATCAGTCACTGCAGGTTGTGAGGCAGACTTCAATATTTGCGGAATATGTTTAAACAACAGACAGTTACCCAGATATTATTCTCTGACTGTAAAAGTAAATTGTTCATGGTATTAATTAACCATGTATGCACAAGAGATTTATTGTGCCCATACCCATGGGTCACATGTTGTTGAAGTTTCAAATAATAGCACTTTATACATTTGTATTTTTTTAGCAAACAAGGTTTTCCAGTTCTTTGTTGGAGTGGGAAATGAGGAGGAACTGTCAATGCAAGATCGTGCTGCAGTGGACATTCTGGTGATGGGTCCAGGGGACAATCCACCTACATTTGAGAAGAACCAGTATGCTTTCTTTGTTCAGGAAGATGTTGCTGTTGGATCTATCATTGCCACCATAAAGGCTACAGCTGATCAGCCTGTGACCTACAGTATTGTTCCAGAATCAATCAAGAGCACCAATCTTAACAAGTTCCATGTAAACTCAAAAGGACAAATAACAATATCAGAGGAGCTTGATCATGAGGAGACCAGCTCTTATTTGCTAACAGTGAAAGTTGAAACAGAAACCTCACCACCACTTGCTGCATACACAGAGGTCAGCATACAACTGCATGATGTAAATGATAATGACCCAGTCTTTGACTCTAATCCTTATTTGGCATCTTTGGTTGAAAATGCAGCGGTTGAAACCAGAATAATTCAACTTCAGGCTTATGATAAAGATCAGCCAACCATGTTTACATACACATTTGGTGAGGGGATGGAAGAAATGGCCAACATATTTGCCATTGAAGCTCACACTGGTTGGTTAACACTGATATCTACCCTGGATAGGGAAATGAAAGATGAATACAATCTGAGTGTTGTTGTTTATGACGACGCTGATAGGCATAGCAACCACAGGCACAGCTCTAGCACATCGGTTCTCATAACTGTGACAGACTTCAACGATAATGCCCCGGTCTTCATAGATAAACATTTGAACACAGCAGTGAATGAAGGAGCTGTCCAGGGTACTGTTTTACGCAACATCAGTGCTTTTGACAGGGACACTGGTGAAAATGCTGAGATATCTTACTACATAACAGGAGGCGATCCGTTGGGGCAGTTTCAAGTGCACAGCACAGGAGAGTTGTTTGTCAACAAACCCCTTGACTGGGAAACTAAGTCCCACTACAAGCTGACTGTGGCTGCAACTGATGGAGGGTTTGTCACATATGTCACCATTAATGTGGATATTCTAGATGACAATGATCATGCTCCAAAGTGTGAAAAGGTGAGGATTTGTGTTTCCTGCAGCAGTATCATTGTATCATTCGTGTGCTGTACGATAAAGGTAGATACTAACAAGCAAATGATGTACAAAAATGTGAAATATGGAGGTTATGTACAATTTATACAAAATTGAGTCAACTTGTCCATATTAATTAAACAATTATGATTGAATGAATCATGCCTTGTTAATCTGATATATTCATCAATCAGGGCTTTATACCTAACCTGTTGTGTAGACACCAGTCTATCATCATTCAACCATACATTACACTTATTATCCACATTTATGTAACTCTCCTACCTTTCCTTTCTCTACCTCACTCTTGGGATACTGGTATTATTGTCTAAATTTAAATGTTCCATTGATTGTAATGAAGTTGTACATGCATACAGCGATCACCCTTAATCAACATGGAAGAGTTGACAAATATCCTAAACCAACATCCTTTTGCAGGTACATTGTGACAATAGAAGTGTGCCATAAATGTGAATATTTCCACAGTTTACTGTCTGCATAAATGTCAAATCTTTACAGTCCTGTTGTAAAACACGTAATCCATATTTTTCAATATGTTTTGTTGAAAAGATGTGTGAACTTCACGAGAGAATGTAACCATGATCCATGACAGAGCTCAAATATGCTTGTTGGTGAACATTGACTACATAATCTGAATTATGAGATGAAAGTCCATGTTGAAAAGAAATTGTACTCAGAATTCTGTTTGCAAAACTATCAAAACAAACCTAAAAAATTACTTAAAGGTGAACATTTAGGAAAGTCAACTTCTGTAATATAAGGAACACAATGCTTCAGTGTATATTTTACTCTTCCATCATTCATGTGCAAAGCATTACTGTGTAGGTTAAATTGTGAGCGAAATTCATGTTGGTCCTGTGGAAATTCCCTGGCTAGTAAAAATTCATCAGGACCACTAAATGATAAGTTTGCAGTGGTCCTTATGGCCAGTGAATTTTGTATTGATAGTTAAGTAAATCTACGAATGTTATTTTGGACCAGTGAAGTTACAGACAGAACTACTAATTATTGCCCACTCGCTGATCCTGTGGTCTAGTGCTAAATTGTGAAAGGTTTCTTTCTCTGGGTTAAAGCTGGTAATCTATGAAGGTCATATACATGTACCTGTAAAAATATTTAAATTGCAAATATGCTTTGATAACTGGTTATAGAACAATGAATATTTGTAAAATGCTTTTCTCGTATGGTTTTGGTTCAGTATGGATTTTTCAAGTTGTTGGAGATACATTTATTAATGCATTTCAGTTAGTTGCTCTTAGGATGTTCTTTCAATCCTGGAATTGTACCTTATGTAATAGTTCCAAGATAATTGTTGTACGAAACTCTTTTGTAACCAGAAAAACATATAATTTTGTTTGTTCATTATATATTAATTTAAGATTGAAATTTTACCAGCAGTGTATTGTTATGACCCAAATATTTATGCATTTTAAATCTTGTTATGTTCAAACTATAAATCACTACTAAGAAATGTATGTTGATACTTCTTAGTTCACAAATATGTTAGTGAATGTAATGGGGAAGTGGAACATTATGTCAGTGTGTATACATTGTATATGGGCCTGTGGCCTACATTCTGAACACCTGACTAACAATAAACCGATAATAAAGTTTTGACGATCGAGGAGTGCTGTTTGGATAATTTTCTGTTGTCTTTTTGCAGTCTGTGTACACCAAGTTTGTTGCTGAAAACGCCCTATTAACTCAGTCATTGACTACATCCAAGCATCAGATGAAGATGAAACCAACACACCATACTCCAAGATATCATATTCTGTCTCGGGACATGGAGCGGATTTTTTCATCATTGAAAAAAATTCAGGTAGGCCACAAGGTGTTTGACGTCTGTAAGACAGCAGTTGTAATTTCACAACTGATAGTTGAAGTTATTGAAGTAAACATCAGTGTTTGTTCTGAAGCGATCATATGTACCAATGTTCAAATTCTTTTACAAAGGTTTTACATGCAATATTCAAAGTTATGAAGTTTGCCAATTTAAATAGATTAGCGTGTCTTGGCTAATTGCCATTATCGAAATGGCTGATTGCATGAAGCTTTGCTTGTGTTGGTTGGCTTTGTTGTTGAATAACCAAACAGACTGAACATTACTAAACGATTGCGCCCTGCTTTTAAACGTTTTTGCTCAAAGATCAGTCACCATGACTCAAACATCCCACTGTATGGACACTGTAATAGTTTTTCCTACACACATCGTTTTGACAATTTGTAGAGATTTAATGCCTAATAGACCTATAAGTTCAAGGGAAACTTTTCTCACTTAGGATTTGATAACATTGAAGGCCATGCTTCTTACTATGCTCTAGGCATGAAAAATGCCATTCACACAATGAATTCAGTACTGATGATTGTAATTTGATTAAACTTGGAACACAAGTTCTCTTAGGAGGTTACCACTCTGTCAAGGTCACATGGAACACAGGTCAAATTTCAAGAAATTATGGATTGATTAATGAGAAGTAAAAGTATTTGTCAATCAGTGTTTGAAATGTTCATATAAACCAAATCCTAATGTCATGGCTGTCAACTGCCATGTTTGCTTGGATAGGATTTTTATTCAGTTATTTGTGGAAGTTGTTTTTCTTCAAAAAGTATGATCTTTATGGTACTTCATGGACATTGATAACGCTATTGATTTTTGTCTATTCTGCAGTGACTGTGTGCAATTAACTTCTTGTGTTCTTTTGGGGCGGTGGGGTAGCCTAGTGGTTAAAGCGTTCGCTCATCACGCTGAAGACCTGGGCTCGATTCCCCACATGGGTGCAATGTGTGAAGCCTATTTCTGGTGTCCCCTGCCATGATATTACTGGAATATTGCTAAAAGCAGTTGTAGTAAATGTCATGCTTCAAATGTGACCTTACTTGGCTGTAATAGTTGATACATGTTTACATGATATTTTTGCAGAAAAGTAAGCAATGAAAGTCAAATTTGAAACACGTGTATATTTTTCCTTATCCTGACTCATGCTCTTTTGCTTTTCTTCTTCTTCTTGCGAACATAGTGGAACACATGTATCTCCCTAATTGAAGCTCCCTTCAATGTAAAATCACTAATTAGTACTCACCACGAGTTGCCTCCCTCTTCCTTAGCGCAGGAAAGGAGGCGCCACCCTCTGGCCTCATGCTTCACTCTCTCCTTCTTCGCCCAGTGAGCAGGATGTGAGAGCGCCTGTGTCTCCCTACACACTATATCCTTTGATTATTCTTAGTTTATTACCTCTTATAGTCTTCTATAGAGGTGTAGCTAGTATCCTTCTACAATTATGTATTGATAATTAATCGTATTTCTGCTGTTTATTCACGGGACGCCGTGTTTGTTCAGCAAGTTTACGTTGATGAAAATCTGTACTATTTGTAGATTACGTTTTTCTGCTGCTGATCCGCATTTAATATGCCCTAGCTGTACTACGCCATGTGCGTTTTCTTCACGTTGCAGTTATTGTATTAATCTGTCTAATTCTGCATTTAATAAATATTATCTTTGCGTCTTGAGACGTGCAGCAGATAGGTCACGCAAACAAGGTTTAACCATGGCCGATACATCGGAACCCCTAGCCGGTCAGCTGCTGTCGGACGACCCCCTCCCGTCTGGTGTTCCGGTAGAGTTACCCTCGGAGGAGAGGCGTGGGACGCAGTCCGCCGTCTCCATGAAGCGTCCTGCATTCCCAGACATCCCGTCGTCGCAGCCAAAGTCTAAGAGGGTTTCGACATCATCTCAACGCAGACTCCGTACCCCCAGGGCAGCGTCTACCTCCAAGGGGAAATCAACAAAGTCTAGAACCTTCTCAGCCGAGATTGTTCCCGCCGCAGAACTGGGCCTGTAAGATGATCAGCCGATCATCATACCCGATCTACGACACAAGAAACGACCGGTGTCGGCAACAGTGACGTCAGCGCACATCAGTCTCTGCAGCACTAACCCTGGCTCGTCGTCAAGGCCTCCTCGCTTCCTGCAGCTGGGGTGAGCAGTTTACAGCTCCACTCTACACAGCCCCGTGGTCTACGCCATCCATCTTCGACGGAGGAATAGACAAAGTCTCTAAGGAAGTCACCAAGGATTCTAGAGAAGTCCTTATGATAAAGTCGATGGACACGCCAGCCAGCGTCATCAGGCAGACTTCACAGAGATATTCAGGGAAATCTAAATTCACTGGATTACAGAAAGCACGGGATAGGAAGATGGCCAGCTCTAGAGGAAAAGATTCTTTTCGTCGCCCATATGGCAACTACAGAGGAGGATCAGGAAGAGGCAGGGCACCCAGAGGTTCCCGCAACTATAAACGATGAAAGACAGGTTCGGAACGACTGGAGTCTTCCACCCCCAGCCGTTCCAGTACAACCGTCACAAGTGGGTGGACGCCTTCAACTGCACTGGGAGAACTGGGGAATTCTACAAGACCCATATGTCTCCAACATACTTCAACACGGATATCGAATCCAACTACAGGCCACGCCTCCGCTTACAGTCAACCCTCACAAGTTCGACTTCCAGGCACAACAACTACCAAAGTTAAGAGAGGCTGTTACATCTCTCCTAACCAAGCAGGCCATAGAAGTACTAGATCAAGTAAACATTGAACCAGGCTTCTACTCCCCAGTTTTCCTAGTGCCCAAGAAAAACTCCAAGGAGAAATACAGACTTATTTACAACATGAGCACATTCAACAGGGATTATCTACGCAAACCGCCAGCGTTTCGCATGATACATCTACCTCAACTACTGCACCTAATTCGTCCCTTGGACTACATGGCCAGTATAGATCTGCAGGATGCCTATCTACACATCCTGATACATCCCGAATCCAGGAAATACCTACGGTTTACACTAGACGGGCTGCATTATCAATGGAAAGTACTCCCATTTGGAATATCATCGGCCCCATGGTTATTCACAAGAGTAACAAAACCTATCGTCACCTACCTACATCGTCTAGGGCTACGCAGTGCGTTTTACCTCGACGACGGGATACAAGTAGATCAAGATCCACAGCATCTCAAACTACAGTTAAACTTCATCATCAAGCTACTAACACAGCTAGGATGGTTAGTAAATCTACTCAAGTCGGACCTAGTACCAACGCAAGATCTGCAGTTTCTAGGCATTCGATTTATCACGACACTGAACCGTATCGTCGTACCAGAAGACCGATGGCTCAAGATCCAACAGACCATCCCACAAGCCTTACTCTCTCCGCTACCACTACGACAATGGCAGAGTCTGTTGGGTCTCCTCACATCAGCCCAAGACATGACAGTCAGAGGCAGACTACAGTTACGTCCGTTACAGGTCTTCATCAATGCTCATCTCAACGACCTACAGCCATTCAGTCTACCGAAACACATCAGACCTCATCTACTATGGTGGACCAGGAGGTCGAATGTCTGCGAAGGCATTTATTTAACAGAGCCGGAATTCAAAACCCATCTCTATGTAGACGCGTCGCTCCAAGGTTGGGGAGCTCATCTCGCCAACCGGACGGCATCAGGGTTATGGAATCAGCAAGAAAGCAAGCTCCACATAAACATGTTAGAGATGAAAGCTGTAATCAACGCCATACTACATTGGAGCACCATTCTACAGAAGGCGCATCTGATGATTCACACCGACAACTCAACAGTGGCGTTTTATGTAAACAAACAAGGCTCAACGAGATCACTGAACCTATTGACTTTATGCTTTCAACTGTTCGTTCTAATCACCGAACTCAACTTACATGTCAGAGCATGTCACATTCCCGGAGCCAAGAATGTACTAGCAGACGCACTCTCTCGGCCACATCTACCGTCACCGACAGAATGGATGCTCCATACAGAAATCTTTGCATAGATTATCAAGAAAATAGGAGCTCCGCTAGTAGATCTATTAAGCCCACTCGCTTCAACAATCAGCTAACAACATTCAGTATCACCAGTCCGGATCCACAAGCGTGGGCAACGGACGCTCTAAGCATATCCTGGGAAGGCCTCAGCGCGTCGCAGCGTTTCCGCCCGCCAGCGTTAATCCCACAAGTGTTACAGAAAATCAGACAAACACAGAGCCTCCAACTGATTTTGGTCGAGCCCTACTGGCCGGCCAGAGCGTGGTTTCCCATTCTAATTCAAGAAATCGGACAACCAACACTAGAGCTACCAAAGCTCGAATCTACTAATACATCCTCACACCAAACAGGTGCACGGAAACCCAGAAGCATTCCTACTTCACGTATGGACTGTATTAAAGTGTGTCTAAACAAGAGAGGTTATTCAGCCAGAGCGGCGAAAGCAGTCATGCTTGCTTTACGCTGTTGTACACGTAACTTGTACGACGACAAGTGGCACAGCTTTGAAACTTACGCAGCTAAAAAGGGATTTACAGCGAGAAATGCTACACATCCACAAGTGGCTGACTATCTGTGTTACTTACGCCAAAATAAACATTTAAAAGGCTCGACATTGTCAACATATCTTTGCCGCTTAGTTCTGTGATAACTATGAGAGCGGGTGTCAAGTTAACCAAAACACCAGAGTTACTGGCCTTACTCACGTGCATTCCGATTGGAGGATCAGAAACAGAAGTTCCGAGCTCCAGCATGGGATCTAAATATAGTGCTCCAACACCTCACAAGTGAGGCTTATGAACCACTGGAATCAACAACTTTTGAATTTCTCTCACAGAAAACATTGTTCCTGTTATCCCTAGCAACTGCAGACAGGATGTCAGAAATTCACGCACTAGATTATGAGAGAATACGGTTTGACGACAATCAAAACATAGTGCACATGGGACTACGATGGGATTTCATCGCCAAGAATCAATTGCCAGGTCAACCAGACAGATTATTCCATGTTCACGCACTCTCCTCAATTCCCGGATCTCAAGATACGCTGGACCTATCTTTATGCCCAGTCAGAGCTCTCAAAATCTATCTACGATGATCGAAAACGAGGCGACGACATCTCAAACGAATATTCATCCCTCTATCAACGACTCAGACCGAAGTCTCTCGTACCACCATATCAATATGGATAAGAACTGTCATACTTCGCGCCTACAAGGCTGCAGGACTCGACCCTCCAAGAGCATCTAATCCACATGAGATCAGAGCACTGGCTTCCACTCTCGCTCTACACGGTAACTGCTCATTAAATACCATTATGGAGGGCTGCTTTTGGAAATCCGACATGGTGTTTGCTAATCACTATCTGAGAGATATCACCACCGAGGACATCTCAGGTATTCACCATTTCGGTCCCATGGTCCTCGCACAGCAGTTGACAGTCCCTCGTAAACGATGAGACATAGTCTCACGAGATTATTATGTATATATCATACCAGTATCATCTAGCTTATAACTCTACGGAGTTTTAGGGCTAATTATATACATATCTTAAGTCTACTTAGTCTTAAGCCCAGTACTGATGGTTATGTACAGTTGGGTAGCTTCTCCATTTTGGAGTCGCTTTTATATCACTACTGCTATTATCATAGTATATTATTATTGTAGTACCCCATCTATGGCAGCTGGTAAACTTATGATTTATAGTAGCAGGAATTATCCTAATTCAGTGCCATTATGAAGTTCCTGAGGGGGTTATTACATATATATATAAATCACTAATTATTTAAATCCAAAGTATTCTGGTTTTCCCACCTCCGTTTCCGTAGGATTCTACAAGCAAAAGAGCATGAGTCAGGATAAGGAAAAATATGTAATTTTCTGAATAAAATTGATATTTTATACTTATCCTGACTCATGAGGTAAGCCCTCCCATCCTCCCACATAACACTTTGGATTTCCCTGTAAATTCAAGTGTTGGGCTCGCTATATCAGGAGAGAGTGAAGCATGAGGCCAGAGGGTGGCGTCTCCTTTCCGGCGCTAAGGAAGAGGGAGGCAACTTGTGGTGAGTACTAATTAGTGATTTTACATTGAAGGGAGCTTCAATTAGGGAGATACAAGTGTTCCACTATGTTCACAAGAAGAAGAAGACAAGCAAAAGAGCATGAGTCAGGATAAGTATAAAATATAAATTTTCTTCAGAAAATTACATTTTTCCATGTTTGGAATCTGACCTTTTATGTTTAACTGCTTTCAGAGTGTGATATCATGACCTTAAATAAGATTTTGTTAGACCCAGAAGTGCACATCATCAACTTAAAAAAAGAAGCTAGAGGCATGTGACTCTTTTACGATATATGTTGATGGAGCCTCTAATATTTTTCCTGTCATTTTTCTTCATATTTGGTTTATTTCAGGTGTTTTGAGGACAAGGAAAACTTTGGACCGAGAAAAAACACCTTTCTATCATCTCCATGTGGCAGCTGTGGATGGGGGTGGAAACTCTTGCACTTCTGACGTACTTGTTACGATCACAGACATAAATGACAACAAGCCAGAGTTTACTCTCAAGACAACAACATTCCACATCCCCGAGAATGCACAAGCTAACACTCTACTTACCAGAGTAACTGCAACCGATAAAGATAGTGGTGAGTAGCAATTAATTATTGAAGCAGTTTCCTTGCCCTGACATCTCTGAAAGTGAATTATCTGACTTTTTTTAAATACATCTCTGTTGAAATGTAAGTATGATTTTTATCTTTATGTATCAAGGCAACAACTGAAGTGAATTTGGAACTGAATTCACAGCATGAGTTTTTAAATGGTAAATTATGCATGGTTTTAAATTGAAATCACAGTGTGTTTTTCTCCATTTAGCCTGGACAATATACAAGTCATTGAACACATCTGGCTGAATCCAGTGTTTTGATTGTTGTAATAATCAAATCACATATGTGACAGGTGTACAAAGTGTGTAGAACAGTTGCTTTGAATTAAAATCCAATTTTAAGATGGCCAACCGGGCTGCCATCTGAAAATGTACTAATTGCCCACATCTGTCGTGATGAAATTTGTTATTCAGTAAAGAGTTACATCCAAAGTGACATGTTTTTTTGTTGATTAATGCACACTAGACTTAAAATCTGAAGTGATTGGTGATCATCAGTATTTTGCAGTTACGACAACACACTATACGATCTGAAAATTTAGTTAAACAAACAGGTGATAACAAACTTTGTCAATGAAAGATGAAATCTCAGATAAATTATCACTAGACATGATGTATTTTCTGTTCTGCCAGGCATAGTTTTATACGCAGATGTAAATATAACTCTGTGTATGTTTTCATTAACTATGCTGGAAACTAGTAATCAGCTATATAGACATTTTTCTACCTGTGATTTGGTTAACAAATACCCCAAAATAAAACTTAAATTGATTTATGTCAGTGATCAATTACAAGTGCCCTTTCATCAGATATTATTTATACCAATATTAGCCTTTACTACATGTATTAAAAAATAACACCTCTCTGGACTAATTGGTTGCTATTGAAGGATAATTTTTGGAACAGTTTGGTCAATAACCATCAAGACCTCACATATTCCTTCTACAGCAAAATAATGAAAACAAAATGCCAATATCATAATTACAACAGAAAAAAGTATAATATCAGTCAGTTACCTTGTTCAAGTATCCATCAATGTCCATGAATAGGAACAATATCTCATACATCTACACAAATAAACTTGTTCAATGTCACGTGGCTTTGTAATTATTTTTTCTAATTAAAAGGCATCAGCTGGACAACTGACAGTTGGGAGTTTTGTTTCCCTTTAAATTCTTCTTCTTTTTGTGGGGCGGTGGGGTAGCCTAATGGTTAAAGCGTTGGCTCGTCACGCCGAAGACCCGGGTTCGAATCCCCACATGGGTACAATGTGTGAAGCCCATTTCTGGTGTTCCCCGCCGTGATGTTGCTGGAATATTGCTAAAAGCGGCGTAAAACCAAACTCAGTCAGTCAGTCAGTCTTCTTTTTGTCCACAGAGTTATGTCCCTTGCTCCCAAATATGTTTTTTCAGTGCATGCAGCATGAAAGGTTTTCAAAGAATACTTACTTCCCTTATGACATGTTTTTGTTTTCTTGAGCATCCACAGTTACTATTGAGAATGTTTAAAAATTGGTGTAATACATTGAGTTTTTTCCACACATGATAGTGGGAGCTAAGCTTCTTTTCATCATGATATTTCAAATCAATAAGTATTTTATGATTAGATTTTCTTAAAAGGTATGGCAAGAACAAATGATCAGTTCTATATTTGATAAAGCTCCCACATTTAGTGCATCTTGATTTGACAACCTGATTTATGCCATGAAACATTATGTCTGTGTCATAAGTTTACTCATCCAAATTGTAATTGCAAACAAGTAATGTGAAGTTTGAGGAACTTCAATTTTCTTGGACTGCTATTTAGTTCCAGCACTGCCTTTTATCTCAGTGTCTAATACCTAATTAAATAGATCAATGATCATAATGTCAATCACTGGATCTTAACAGATAACCATCATATAGGTGCAGCATTAAACAACAAAGAAATAAGAAACAAAATAATGTCCAACAGTTTATTCTACTGAAACACACACGTATCATCATGATAATGATTTGTATGTTCAGGAAATGTTGTTAGAACTACATTGTTTTGTTTTCAGAATCTGTTGAGCCAATACTTTAGTGTTTCAAGCTGGAAGTAAAGTAAAAACCAATGGAGCAAATATTTTGTTAAAAAATACTGACAGCAGTTCTTGTTCAGTGTCTGCCTCTATTGACATTATTAAACTGTTGACTTTTTATCCAGCGGAGCTATCATTATTGCTTTGTTGTCATGCTTTTGCCTTCTTTTCTTTCCACATGTTTCAAATTTTGCATGCATACCACAAACTTCTGCTTGTCTAGTGTTAATGCGTTTTGTACATCTCTTCTGAGCCTTAATCTCCATAGTTGGTCCCAGGTACAGTTTACCAAAGGATTCTGATCCAGTTGTTTAGAAACCTATGTATAGCAATTTATCAGCCCTCTTTTTCCATCCTACACCTTTTTATGTAGAAGATCATAACAGAACCAGCTTGCCCTAACCAAAACTGAATGACAAGCCAGAGTTGTTACCAATTAGATTATTTTGTAAGATACTGATTAGCTAGTGAAAGCAAAAAAATTAAAGGGCCTTATCTGCTGTGATATTTTTTTTTTCTGATGAGGCTTAAATTTGGCAAGCTGGTTTCTTCTTTTGTAATTTGTGTAAATAAAGTGAAGTCTCTTGAAAGGGCACTGACCTATGGCTTCAACGTGGTAGTCTAACACTGCCAGGTAGGTCTCATGGGCTACTGGGAGACAACTTGCAGACAGATGTAACTGAGCATGGCACGAGACCCGACTACTTTCTGTAAGACATGTGTTAATTGATTATTTTTCCTTATCCTGACTCATGCTCTTTTGCTTGTCCCCTTCCTCTTGCGAACATAGTGGAACACTTGTATCTCCTTAATTGAAGCTCCCTTCAATGTAAAATCACTAATTGGTACTCACCCAAGAGTTGCCTCCCCTGCCGTAAGCGCGGGAACAGGTGTCGCCACCCTCTGGCCTCATGCTTCACTCTCTCCTTCTTCGCCCAGTGAGCAGGATGTGAGAGCGCCTGTGTCTCCTTACACACTATATCCTTTGGTTTTCTTAGTTAGTTACCTCTTATAGTTTACTATAGAGGTATAGCTAGTATCCTTCATTAATTTGCATTGATAATTAATCGTATTTCTACTGTTTATTCACACGGAGTTCGTGATTATTCAGCTAGTATTACGTTGATGAAAAACTGTACTATTTGTAGATTACGCTTTTTCCGCTGCTGATCCGCATGTAGTATGCCCTAGTTGTACTCACGCCTTGTGCGCTTGATTCACGCGTTGCAGTTACTGCATTAATTTAACCAATTCTGCCTTTAATAAATACCATCTTTGCGTCTTGAGACGTGTTGCAGATAGGTCACGCAAACTAGGTGTAGACATGGCCGATACATCGGATTTCCCATCCAGTCAGCTGCTGTCGAGGCGATCCCTCCCCGTCTGGTGTTCTGCTTGAGACCCCATCGGAAGAGGGCGTGGGATGCAGTCCGTCACCTCTAAGAAGCGACCGCCTCCCCAGACATCCCGCCATCGCAGATAAAGTCCAAGAGGGCCTCAACGCTTCTCAACGCAGACTTCGTACCCCCGGGCAGCGTCATCCTCCAAAGGGAAATCACGAAGTCGCCGAGAACTTTCTCAGCCGAGATCGCTCCAGCAGCAGAATTGGGCCTCTCACGATGACCAGCCAATCATCATACCCGACATACGCCACAAGAAGCTTACCAGTGACAGCGACAGTGACTTCAGCAGAGATCACTATGCAGCCTGATGCCTCTACACTGATGTCAGACGAGATCGCTGAGGGCCCCACCGCTATCAGCGCAGAGAGGGCACCATCTACTACGCCGCAGATCATCCCAGACGATCTAATGAAGCAGATCATGATCATGATGGAAGGCCACTACAGACTGGAGAAGCAGCCATCCCAGGGTCCGAGCCTTCGCGAAGGCTCCAACGTAGACAGCACCCCAGAGGCACCCCCCGTCAACGTAGCAGCCACGACGATGCCGCCTTCGCGAAGGAAGTCACAGACCACCTCGACGAAGGACCCAGATGTACAGCCTTCGCGATGGCGGGAAAGATCATCACCTTCTTCGGCGTCATACTCAGATACGGAATCTGATCATCAGACCTCACGGAAGCCTTCGCGAAGGTCATATCACCGTTCCCCAGGACCGGACGCAGAGGAAGCTTCGCGAAGGACACCTGAACCCAGATCGTCATCATCTAAAAGGACATCGAGGGACTACACAAGAGCTTCACGAAGCTACCAACGGTCCCCTCATAGGTCTCCAAGAAGATCAACCTATCGATGTAGATCACCAAGACGATCGCCTCGCCGGTCACCACGCCGATCTCCACGTACATCACCACGTCGATCACCTCACAGGTCTGCACACAAGCCTACAACTAGATCTCCACAAGCGTCAAACGATATAGAGATAGAGCCACACAGTCCTACATCAGAAGAGCAACAACCTCTCATTAATGATGATGGAATGGAAGATGATGGAGGAATTATTTTCTCAGATGCAGAGATAAGATATTGGATGGTCAATAATCTAGATCTCTCATCACCTTCCAAGAGTGGCAACTCGAGCAGACATACCTGATGAATGAGGACGATGCAGATGCTATTACACTACCCCCAATCTAATTCGATTGGGCGGTACCACAGAACCTAGATACAGCATTTCACAAAGCCACGAAGGTTCAGACACCACATCTGCCAAACTTTCACGCCAAGAAGTTCTCCACGCATAATATGGACCCCTTCTTCAAGGCGCAAGACATCGATGAGAACTACAAGCTGATCTCCGATGCCAAGAACAAGTACTACAAGATTGATGATCGGAAATTGGTTCAGATAGAAACCATGGCGAGGACGTATGTTCTTTGGTCTAAATAGATCTAGAACAATAAATGAGACACTTATCACCAGATTTAAGTAACACCCACCTCTGAAGATGATAGAATGATTTACTCGGCCCTACTGATGCAAAAGAAGGACCAGCAGTTCTTAACAGATCATCTCACGCCTGTCTCAGCAGCACTGACCTTAGCTCGTCGTCAAGGCCTCCTCGCTTCCTGCAACTGGGGTGAGAACTTTACAGCTCCACTATATACAGCCCGTGGTCTTCCCCATCCATCTTTGACGGAGGAATAGACAAAGTCTCCAAGGAAGTCACCAAGGATTCCAGAGAAGTCCTGATGATTAAATCGATGGACACGCTTAGCCAGTGTCATTCGACAGACTTCACAAAGATACTCAGGAGATCTAAATTCACGGGCCTACAAAGAGCAAGAGACAGGAAGATAGCCAGTTCCAGGAGAAGAGATTCTTTTCACGCCCATATGGCAACTATAGAGGAGGGTCAGGAAGAGGCAGGACACCCAGAGGTTCCCACAACTATAAACGCTGAAAGACAGGTTCGAACGACTGGAGTCTTCCACCCCCAGCCGCTCCAGTACAACCGTCACACAAGTGGGTGGACGTCTCCAACTACACTGGGAAAACTGGGGAATGCTTCAAGACACCTATGTCTCCAACATTCTTCAACGCTGGATTTCAGATCCCACTACAGACCAAGCCTCCACTAACAGTCAACCCTCACAAGTTCGACGTACAGGCACAGCAACTACCAAAGTTAAGAGAGGCTGTTACATTACTCCTAACCAAGCAGGCCATAGAAGTAATAGATCAAGGAAACATCGAACCAGGTTTCTACTCCCCAGTTTTCCTAGTACCCAAGAAAAACTCCAAGGAGAAATACAGACTCATTTACAACATGAGCTTCTTCAACAAGACTTATCTACGAGAGACCACCGAGGTTCCGCAGATGATACATCTACCGCAGTTACGGCACATGATTAAGCCCCATGGACTACATGGGCAGTATAGATCTACAAGATGCTTATCTGCACATCCCTATACATCCCTAATCCAGGAAATACCTACGGTTTACGCTAGACGGGTTACATTACCAGTGGAAAGTACTCCCATTCGGAATATCATCAGCCCCATGGTTATTCACGAGGATAACGAAACCGATTGTCACCTATCTACATCGTCAAGGGCTACGCAGTGCGTTCTTCCTCGACGACGGGATACAAGTAGATCAAGATCCACAGCATCTCAAACAGTTAAACTACATCATAAAGCTACTAACACAGCTGGGATGGTTAGTAAACTTACACAAGTCGGACCTAGTACCATCGCAAGATCTGCAATTCCTAGGCATTCGATTTATCACCGATCTCAACCGTATAGTCATACCAGAAGACCGTTGGCTCAAGATCCAACAGATCATTCCTCCAGCCCTTCTCTCTCCGCTACCACTTCGACAATGGCAGAGCTTACTAGGTCTTCTAACATCAGCCCAAGACTTGACACTCACAGGCAGATTACAGTTACGTCCCTTACAGGTCTTCATCAACACACATCTCGACGACCTACAACCATTCAGTCTACCGAAACATCTCAGACCTCATCTACTATGGTGGACCAAGGAATCGAATGTCTGCGAAGGGATTTGTTTAGCAGAGCAGGAATTCAAAACCCATCTATATGTAGACGCCGTCGCTCCAAGGTTGGGGAGCTCATCCAGGTGCACAGAAACCCAGAAGTATTCAAACTTCATCGCTGGGAATGGACTGTATTAAAATGTGTTTAAACAAGAGAGGATATTTTTCTACCAGGGCGTTTCCCATTCTAATAAAGCGGTCAACGCTTACCCAACGATACTCAAACTCAGAAGTCAAACTTCGCGTATACTGTATTAAAATGTGTTTAAAACAAGAGAGGATATTCTACAAGTGGCACAGTTTCGAAAATTACGCAGCAAACAAGGGTTTTACAGCAAGAGATGCTACGCATCCTCAAGTGGCAGACTATTTGTGTTACTTACGGCAAAACAAACATTTAAAAGGCTCGACATTGTCAACATATCTTGCCGCGCTTAGTTCTGTGATTTCTATGAGAACGGGTGTTAAATTGACAAAAACACCAGAGTTACTGGCCTGTTTTGTTTGTTTTAAACATATTTTATTCATTCAAGAAAAGGATTGGGCACAAGTTATCCAACTTAGAAAAGCCCTCTCCAGATAATTACACAATTCATCTTACAACAAAGTACACAAGTGACAGACATAGGCTAGGATATGTACAACAGATGTTAACTGAGAAAGCGTTTTGTTTGAGAGATATAGATATGTACATATTTGAAAACATTCTGGTTGTCAGTGATTGAGAGACCTGCATTGCCTTGTAAGATAAGATTAATATCAATCAGTGTTCTATTTTTGACAATATGTTCTAAAGATTTTAACAGTTTATGTCTTTGAATAGTATACAAAGGACATTCAAGGAAGTAATGAAAAACATTCTCACATCTATGGCCACATTGACATGATGCGTCATTTTTTACATTTATTCTATATAAATCATAATTAAATTATTGTACTCGTCATATATCTTAATCTAGTGTGCATAACATTGAACTTCCTTATTCCATATGAATAATATATAGGTGCACATTTTTCCTGCACGTGGATATAAGATTTAAACGTGGCAACAGAGTCGCAATTTCTAATAGCTAAGGGAATATTATTCCACACTTTAACTGTTGATGGAATAAAGATGGCGTTGAGTACCTCAGTCTTGTATATGGTTGACTAAAGTTATTTGAGTTTCTTAACTCATAACTTGTCTGGTTGCTAACTACAGGTGGGAGTAAATCTTGAAGAAAAACTGGTGTCAGGCATTTTTTAATTTTATAAAATAATGTTAATTTGCGTCTTCTCCTTCTCTCAGAAAGTAAATCCCATCCCGTTTCAGTAATACAATGAACTGGAAGATGCATATCTTGGAAGACCAGTAACTATGCTTGGCTGCTTCAAGTTGAAGTTTTTCTAATCTATTAGCTTGTTCAATTAAACATCCATCCCATACCTCGCATGCGTACTCAAAGTGTGGCCTTATGAATACAGTATATATTTTCGCTAGTGTTGTTCTATTTAATAAGAACTTTAATTTCGAAATGATCCAATCATTTTAGATGTCTTTTGATAATGTTTTCAATATGATGATGCCAGCTCCGTTAGGCGTGAAGATTAAACCCAGATGTTTATGAAAATCGACTGTTTTTATATTGCAGTTATCAAACTTCAAATTAATGTCTTTTTTGCCATCTTTCAAAGTAAATAATATAGCTTCAGTTTTTCCGGATTGTAGGAAATTAACCAGACCTTTGCCCAATCGTTTAATATTTTTAGATTTTCATTCATGGCTCTTTCCATCACTTGTTTGTCCTTTGATAAAGTTCCCAGTGAAGTATCGTCAGCTTAAAAGCCGAGTTATGCAATGTAGCTTATCAGCTATCTCATTTACATACACAATAAAAGAAATGGGCCTAAAACTGATCCCTGGGGAACTCCTGCTTTCAACACCATAGGCTTGGATAGCGACCCATTAACAAAGACTGATTGATTGCGATCAGTTACATAACTATTAAACCAATCAAGGAGTTTTCCACTGACTCCATACATCTCTAATTTAAGCATAAGCCCTCTGTGCCAAACTCTATCAAAGGCCTTTGATACATCGCAAAAGACCATACAATAGTATTCTTTGTTATCGAAAGTGATGTACAAATTTGATTATAAATTTCTACAAGTTGATGTACAGTAGAATGACCTCTCCGGAAGCCACACTGATATTTGTATAACAAATCGTTTGACACAAAGAAATTATAAACATGCTTAAACACAACTCTTTCAAACAACTTCCCAACGCAACTAATAAGTGAAATTGGGCTTATAGTTTGATACAACCGAATGGTCACCTTTCTTGAATAAAGGCATAACATTTGCATACTTCCATTGGCTAGGATACACACACAAATTTAGTGACATATTAAATAACTGGCCTTACTACGTGCTTTCCGATTGGAGGACCAAAAGCGGAAGTTCCACGTCCCAGCTTGGGATCTGAATGTAGTGCTACAACACCTCACAAGTGAGGATTATGAACCATTGGAATCGACAACCTTTGAATTTCTCTCACAGAAAACAGTTTTCCTGTTATCGCTAGCCACGGCAGCCAGAATATCTGAAATTCACCCTCTAGATTATGAGAGGATACAGTTTGATGACAATCAAAACACAGCGCACCTGGGATTAAGATGGGATTTCATCGCCAAAAATCAACTACCAGGCCAACCAGACAGGTTATTTCACGTCCCTGCACTATCCTCGATTCTCGATCTCAAGATACATTGGACTTATCGCTATGCCCAGTAACGAGCTCTCAAAATCTATTTACGCCGTTTCCAAAACAAGGCTTAAGATCGCTCAGAAGATTGTTCATCCCGCTATCGCCTACTAATCAGACAGAAGTCTCTCGTACTCACCATATCTATATGGATAAGGACTGTCATTCTCTACTTCCTACAAGGCAGCAGGACTGGACCCTCCAACAGCATCAAATCCCCATGAAATCAGGGCATTGGCCTCCACCCTCGCCTCTACACGGTAACTGTTCATTGAATACAATTATGGAAGGATGCTTCTGGAAATCTAACATGGTGTTTGCTAATCACTATCTGAGAGATATCACCACCGAGGACGTCTCTGGCATTCACCATTTGGGTCCTTTGGTCCTCGCCAGTTAACTGACAGTCCCTCGTGAGGCGTTAATATTCACCCCACGAGATTATTATGTATATTATACATACATTATTTAGCTTATAACTCCACGGAGTTCTAGGGCTATGTATATAATTAGCTTAGGTTATTCAACCTTAAGCTCATACTGAGTTTATGTTCAGTTGTACAGCTTCTCTATCAGAGTCGCTTTTATATCTATTTATATAATTTGATATATCAGTATATGAGTAATGTAATACCCCAGTTATGGAAATATATAACCTATGGCTTATTATACAGGAAATATCCTAAGTCAATGCCTTTATGAAGTTCCCGCAGGGGTTATTACAGTATAAGTTATTTAAATCACTAATTATAAATCCAAAGTATTCTGTTTATACCAACCTCCACTCTGGAGGATTCTACAAGCAAAAGAGCATGAGTCAGGATAAGGAAAAATATGTAATTTTTGAGTAAAATTGATATTTTATGCTTCTCCTGACTCATGAGGTTAGCTCCTCCCATCCTCCCCTGACTCATGAGGTTAGCCCTCCCATCCTCCCCACATAACACTTTGGATTTCCCTGTAAATTCAAGTGTTGGGCTCTGCAAAATCAGGAGAGAGTGAAGCATGAGGCCAGAGGGTGGCGACACCTGTGCCTTTTCTACAATTGCCAGACTGAAGAGACTGAATGCTTCTTCTCAAGATGTGATATTTTGTTCAAACCATTGTATATTAATATTTATTCTTTATATCGCTAGTTCTTGCATTTTGGTAAACCGATATTTACAAATCTGAGCCCTACAGATATAGAGGATGGTATTTGTGCAGACTGGGTTTTTAGTGGCTCTGTTTTCTAAACTGTTGGGCACAGAGCAGTGGCAACAACTCTTTGTTGACACCAATTATGCACATTGTCATGTGTCTGAAGTTACCATGTTTTTGTCATATATGTCGCTGAATGGACACTTTTCTGCAGGTACAAGCCACGGATGTAGACAGTGTATCAAATGCACAAATCCACTACAAACTTGTCAGTGGTGACATGGAGGGAAAATTCACTATCGGCAAAGATACAGGGGTCATAAGGATCAAAGAGGCTCTCGACAGAGAAATGGTAATTTATCTCCTTAAATGTAAGGTAAAGACTTCTTATCACCTGAATGGTGAAGATATATTTTCATTATTTTTGTCAAAACCAGTTCATTGAAATTTGGTTTCAACCAGACACTTCTATTATGTCATCTTATTAATTCTTTATGAATCTGCAGCGATACTTGACCGATATTGATAAAGTGATATTTGGCTTCAGATTGACCACTATGCCTTGATTATTGAGGCCCAAGACTCCGGGTTTCTCCAATCTCATTCTGCTACCACTGTTGTGTCTGTGCATGTACTGGATACCAATGACAACCCACCTCGTTTTACTCAAGCAAATTATACAGCCAGAGTTCAGGTGTGTACCAGTTTTCTTGTCTTCATAAAAGTAGTACTTATACATCTTTGAGACATGTATTTAGTTCACCTTGGCGAAGCCTGTGTTAGCTTATATCAGCCCATTGCCTGTTTGTCCTGCCAACCATCACGCTCACAAAGTCATTCTGTGTTACCCCTTGACCCATCACGGCAGTGGCTGTGTATACTGCAGCTGAACCTGTCAGCAATTGTGTCATGGTTGAGGTGAGGTCTAACAGAGAATGGATAGCTGAAAAACTAAGTCTCCCTATCTCTTTCTCCCTGTCCGTTCTGAGTTTGATGTGAAGAGCAAGATGGGATAAGGGTTTAGGACCTGCTTCCTCATGGATCAAAATAAGAGGACAACTTCAGCGTGTGAGATAAGTTAAGTATTCGTAAATATATGATTCCTTGTAAAAGTTTCAATTTTCATTCCCATCCTGAATCCCTAAAATTTTTAATTCTGCTTTTTCCATCTGCACGAATCCTGTTGTGAAAAGTGTCTTATCTTTTTAGACAATATTGTTAAATTTGTCTCCCAAGGAGTGAAGAAATGTCTATGCTGGGTTTTGAGTTGATGAGGTGAAAGGGAGAAGAAAAGAGTTGTCTACAAAGTGTGTGAAAACAACTGCCCGACCACAGTAATAGGACTAACATGCAGACACATTGCAGAAATCCTGTGAGATTGACAAATAGAAAAATAATACATCAGCAATCCTTGTTATAAAATAATAACGCATAAAGTGTATTAATAGATTCAGATTTTTTAAAATTATGCACTTTTTGCCTTTCTTCTTCTTCTGTCTCAGTCATTCTTTCTCTCTCTGACTCACTCACTCACACACACACACACACACACACACACACACACACAGAGAGTATGATTGACCTCAGTGAGGTCAAGGTCTCCAGAAATGATGACACACCTCCTGATTCATTCTTCAGTTAGCTTTTATCTTTTACTGAGATAAGCCTCGACAAATTAGTGAACAATTACTGTCAAGTAAGTTCAGTCATGTGAGACAAGAGGTGCAGTTCTGTGTCACTGGTTTTTGTGAGGAGAAGTTGATCAAGTTGCAACTTTCATTTCCACAAGAAATCTTAGCAGACTGCAGCAAATGAAGTTTAGTACCAGTTTAGTTGCACTACATGATCCACAACAGTGGATTGTAACTGATCTGACTGGATGGATGTGAAATGGCATTGTCGTTCTGTCAAACAGCTGATAATGGGTCAGGTGCACTATGCAATTTTACTGAATGCATATATCTTATGTGTTCAAATCAGTAAATTAATGAAGCTGTGGGTCACATCCCTGATAGATATGACCTGTCAGAATGTTGATACACTCTGGTTTCTATTGAACTGTTAAGTATATAACAAGGTGAGCTACAGTGCTATGTGTTATACTGCTATCAATACTGCTGTACAGACAGAATCCTAAGTTTTCTTCATATTATTGGGTTTCAAGCACATGCTAGAATATCAATAAAAAAAATGTAATTGTTATTATTCATTTTGTTTTCATCACCACTTAAGATTATACTTGTATTGTTCCATATTATCTGTTTGTAAACTAGAGCCTTTGTGATTGCTGTTAGAAGTGTCCAAGTGTAAGTTGTTTGTTTCCCTGAATGTCGGCATATTTGTGGTAGCATCTTTGAGGCTGCACTATTTTTGTAGGATGAATTCTTTTGAATTGGAGATATCATTAAACAAATCTTAACACATAAATCCTTATTCAATACAGCGATCTGATCTTATGAAAGTAAGTGAAGTACTTTTCAAATTAATATTTAACTTATGATAATTTGTTGCATGTTCGTTTTGTAGATATTTGAGTTGCTATTTCATTTTAATAGCTTGATTCAATGTATGTGACCTTGCAACCTGTACTCCTGTTTAGGTCAGTTTTTGTAGTAGATTGTCAATGAAGGTATATTGTCATGAATATTCTGTCAGAAATGAGTGTTTGTCGTCACAACTTAGTTTTCCAGACGGATGTCATTTATATGACTTCAAAGGATGTGTAGCAGTGTACTGTTCTATGTGTTGTGTTTTAATGTAGATGTGTTAAAAGCTGTTATTGATTTCTTTACATAGACGTTACATGCAGTGTGTGCATCCTGTCATAATGTCAACTGACACTTGAACTAGCTTTGGTCTAACTAGTGTTTGTCCGAGCAAGATTCCTGTTGTCTGTCTGACATTTGCATATCTGTCATAAACATTAGTTGCTTTTGCCATGTATTGAAACAGAATGGGGGACTAGACACTGCTCTGGTTTTTTCCTTCTGAAATTGTGATAAAAAGAAATTCTGGTCGGCATCATGTTTCGTATGTATGTAATTCTCAGAACTCATTAAAAAAACATTTGTATATGGCTAAAAGTTGTGATTCTGTTGTCTGCATGTGCACAGTGACAAATGTTTGAAATACAATAGTTTTATATGTCAAAGTGTCAATAGAGCTACAGTGCCAATGGATTAATTGAGGTTTTGATAAACATGAATGAATGCATTTCCCAGAATGATATCACAAGAATTCTTGTTTGCATGAGTATTCCAGTAGCAGAATGCACATGCTGTTATATTGTGTAGATGTACTTTGTTCCTGTTGCCCTGCATGTGTAGGAACAGTGCATGATAAATCCCATTTTTTGTCACACTGCTCTGTTAGCCTATGTTTACATTGAAAGCGTATCCTGCTTCATGAAGTCAGCAGCGATGTTATGTTTTTTCAGAAGTACATTGCTGATGCAGGTTGATATATTCTTTGAAATATCAGTTAAAAATGTCCTTGGACTTGACTTATAACTACTAGATGATAGTAATTCAATGGTTAGTTATGATGTAATTCTGAGTACTCAAGTTTCACTGCAAATATGTTTCAGGAAGGACGTCGAACAGGTGACAGCATACTGATGTTCATGGTAACAGATATCGATATGGTAGAAAATGGGCCTCCTTTTGATTACGATATCATCAGTGGAAACGGTAATAGGGAATTTCATATAAGTAATGATGGGAAGCTAAGCATAGCTGGAAAGCTAAACAAAGAGCTGAAAGACACTTATGAACTGACAGTTCGTGTATATGACAGTGGAAGACCAAGTCAGTATGCTGATACTTCAGCCACCATCTATGTGGTTGATGAAAGTATTCATGCCCCTGTTGTTCGGAATTTGTCCATTACTATCAGCTCATACAAGGATAAGTTCCCAGGAGGAGTCATTGGGAAAGTTGACTACAAAGATGATGATCCGTATGATACAGTTATCTTCCAGGTTGTTTCCAATAATCGTTATCTGTTTGATGTTGATCGCCACAATGGGAATGTTATCGCACTACTAGGACTTGATGCTGGCCACTATGAAATCAATATCAGTGTTAGTGATGGAAAGTTTACAAGTTTTTCTCAAGTTTCTGTTGATGTTGTATCAATATCTGAAGAAATGGTTGACAATGCAATTACTATCCAGTTTGCAAACATGATACCAGAACAATTCTTTGCTAACAGCAAGAAAGATTTTCAGGACATCCTTAAAAGAGAACTTGATGTCAGTGCAAGAAATATCAAAATAATCAATGTTCAACCAGCAACCGGCCCAAAATTTCCTGGACGATGGAAGAGAGATACATCGAGCAATCTTGATGTCCTTTTTGCTGTGAGAAAATCTGGGGACCGCTTTTTTAAGAAAAACTCCCTCAGGAAAAAAGTACTGCGTGCAGCACAACGTATTGAGTCGGCTGTTGGGGTGCAAGTCATCAAGGTGTTCAGTGATACTTGTACTGATGTAACGTGCACAGAAGGCATCTGTGTTGGAAGAGTTGTGTTTGACAACAACAGGCTTACACCAGTCATTGTGGGTGGTGAGAGCTTTGTGTCTGCAAGACACTACTACAGTTATCAATGTGTCTGCCAAGGAGGTAAGTGTAATTTATGAAATATTTCTGAAGGAACTTATGTAACTTCCAGGTTGTTCCTGGAAAATGAATGAATTAACCATTATCCAACATTTGGGTCAGCATTACATGTGTCAATATATTGGGAATATAGAAGTGAATGACCAGTAAACACTGTGTGCACAGTTGATTTTAACTTTGTGGTGAAGGATGATATTGTAACAACACACTGGTTAGAGCACACATGGTGAGAAAAGGCAAGAGGACTAATTATACATAGGTAGGATGATAGAATAGAGGAGATAAAGATGTTGCTTAATGAGTTCATATTACGATAGAATGAATTTCTATAGCCAAGATCTCTGTTCACTGATGGAAGTTGTTGGAGAGAATTTGAAAGGTCCCAGTACTCTATTGCATTGCTTGTGGTGCCACAGTGGTTGTAGGCTGAGTGACATGTAATGGAAATGTAATCATATGCTAGTGTTGTAGGGTGCTGCTGCTCATAATGTCAGCCACTGGTTTGTCAGAGCAGGCTTGATCATCTGCCATGACATAGCTGGAATATGGCAGACTGCTGCCATGTTGGTGCCATTAAGTACAGAGTCATCTGATGATTCCCTTTGATGACTTGCAGGATAAACAATGTATGCCATCATGTGTTCCCAGGAAGTCGACATGGCATCCAGGGCCCTGTTCCTCAAAGCGATCGTAGCACTACGACTGTCGTAAGTCTAAGTTAAAGTATGGGAGTTACGATCATCTTAGGGTTACGATCGCTTTGAGGAACGGGGCCCTGAACTGGAATGATGTAAGTTGGTAACTTCACTTGCTCAGATATTATCTGGCATTATTCCATTACTTTTGAACATTGCTTGCAGATCACTGTGACTCTCAGTTATGTGGTGGCACACCTTGTCCGTCCTACAAGTTGTGTGAGCTTGACCATTTCAACAAAAACGTATGTGTATGTCCCAATGGCAAAACAGGAGACCGATGTGACAAAGACCCCATCCAGTGCAAACCGTCTGACGTCAGTTGTCACAAAGGTATTTATGATACTTCAGTTTTACCATATCTGTCTCATGTGAGTGCCATAGTTTGCTTGTCTGGTGTCAACCTAGGCTGTTTCAAATCTAATTATTTGAAATATTTTCTGTTTTCTACCATACTCTTAAATTCAATGCTGTAAACTTATTGCTTAGGAATCTCCCATTTTGTTTCACTCTACTTTGCTCAAATCATTAGTATTTACACTGAAAATATTAGGGTATTTGACAACAACTTTCTAATTTTCTTTACAGGGGACCGTCCAATGACGTTCATGGGGCGTAGCTATGCTCGATGGGAGCTTAACCTGAAAACTGCCAAACAACTGACATTATCTTTGTGGATCAGGACCAGACAGCTGAACGCCAACTTGATGAACACCAGAGGAATTGCAGACTACAGTGTGCTTGAGGTAAGTCTATCCATCCTCAACACCTTCATCCACGCCTGGGGCGGTGGGGTAGCCTAGTGGTTAAAGCCTTGGCTCGTCACGCCGAAGACCCGGGTTCGAATCCCCACATGGGTACATTGTGTGAAGCCCATTTCTGGTGTCCCCCGCCGTGATGTTGCTGGAATATTGCTAAAAGCGGCTAAAACTAAACTCAGTCAGTCAGTCATCCACGCCTGGTCAGGAGCAAATTTCTGGAACTAATTGCGAAAACTTGGTTAACTTTTAAGTCAAAGTATGGTATTTATGATAAATGCATCCATACTTGATCAACTAAAGTGTGTTTCAATGTGGTAATAGTTGTAGTCTGACTGAGGTTGCGGGTACTAAAGGTGAGTTGGTGCACTGCCTATAACTTTACACAGGATTGGGTTGAGTTTATTGTAAGAAATACTCAATAACATTTGAAATGAAATAATAACAATGAATGAAATTAATTTTTCAAAAAAAATTAAGTAAAGAATTCTGGATTTTCAAGGGGCGGTGGGGTAGCCTAGTGGTTCAAGCGTTCGTTCGTCACGCCGAAGGCCCGGCTTCGATTCCCCACATGGGTACAATGTGTGAAGCCGATTTCTGGTGTCTCCTGCTGTGATATTGCTGGAACATTGCTAATAGCGGCGTAAAACCCAACACACTCACTCATTCAATGGATTTTGAAAGAATATTTGTTTGTAGTCAGGGCGTAAAACTACATGATTAAATTGCATAATTAATTTTAGATTTGTTGACTTGGTATATTGGTGTTACATGCACTTGGTTATGACTTTGCAAATTGGACCATAAAATGGTCATAATTCATTATTAATGCTGTGTGTTTGTATGATGAAGTGTATCAACATTCAAAGGACTATATGATCGAAAACTTTTACTAACTGAATGTGAAGAACAAAACTAAGGAATTTCATTCATGAATTTTATTGTCACTTTCTACTTTCTTTCTACCGTTATATCTACTTACTTTGCTTTGTGAATTTACTGTGTGTATTTTGTACATATTAATGTATTAATTATGTTCTGTTGCCAATAGATCATTGATGGTAAACTGCAGTACAAGTTTGACTGTGGTAGTGGAGAAGGCTTGGTCTCTATACCCATAGCTGTTAATGATGGCACCTGGCACAAAATAAATGTCGAGAGAAATGGTCGCATAGCAGAAATGGAACTGGACATGGAATACAAGGCAATGTCCACAGCACCAGGGACAAATGAGATCCTTAACTTGAACACTGACCAAATCTACTTTGGTGCAGAGGTCAACTGGCGAGAACAGTATCAGGCCATCAGTCATGGGTTTGAGGGCTGCATGAAGGATATCCACATATTTGATATACCACTGCTGTTCTCAGGGAGCAACAAGGTGACAAAGGATCAGCTGTTTGAGAGGATTGATTTCAACTGTAAAGAGGACCCATGGAAAAACCCTCCTCCAAGTGAGTTATGAAGCTAAACATGAACTGTCCCAACAGACTTGAATGATCTGAAAGTCAAAACAGAGTCAGTATCAGATTCATAGTTACATGCAAATAGATGTACGAATTAATGACTACATATTCTTGTTAAAGGTCATTATCATGCTTTTAGGGCTACTGTGGACAGAAGTGCCTCAGATAGTTCTCTATGATATTTCAATGATTTTTGCCTGGCTTTGCAGTTGTTTGTAAAATGTAGTTAAATTGTACCTTAAATGACAATTAGGTGCCTGACTCTGAGGGTGTGGGTTCATATGTTACATTTGACCACTTTCTAAATGGCATTGTGTATTCATAATTTACAATTGTTAATTAGATGTCTTTTTGGACATTTCCGTTCTTTTGCTTCATATCCAGGTGAGCTATGGTACATGCACTTTCTTTGTTAGCAGGTATTTCACTGGAAAAAAACCTTGATGGATATTATACTGCTCTCATAAAATTCTGTTCTTAAAAATGTTGTCTAAAAACTGTTAACAGGCTGGATGAGAACAGCAACTAATGTAAGGTTATTATAGCTGATGAATTGTCAGGAACATGTTTAAAGAGATCAGAGCATGTGAGGAAGTATCAATTCAATTCAATTCAATTTCTTTATTCTCATAAACCACCTTGGTGGTACAAGAGCATATATTGTAAACATATATACAAATACAAATTCAAATTCAAGATGGCAGTTAACAACATTTTTTTCTGACAAGAGATGATAGATGTAGGATATATTTTGATAGATTTACTATGTCTCGAGATGTTTTTACAGATAATATTTTCGTGAACTTTGTTTCATTGGGAAAAGAGGTCAAGTGGGAGGGTAAATATTCTTTCCTCAAAGTATCTAATGCTTTGCAATGAAAAATATAGTGGTATTCATCTGCGATGCTTTTAGAAGTACATAGTTGACACGTTCTCTCGTCCCTTGGAATATTTTTCCAGAGGCCTGTCTCAATAGGTAAACTATGGTTACATGTTCTAAATCTCAATAATGGCAAAGAAATGCGTTTTTGAAGGAGGAGATATACATCAAAATTGGGAAATGGCTTTAGGTGCTGATAGTGTATACCCTTAGGACTAGAAATAATGTCATTGTGCCAGTTTTGGATAAATTGATCAATGTCACATTTTCTTATTCAAGAAGTGGACCTGCAAACTGACAAATGCAGTATGAGTTTATATTAATCTCATATCTGTTCATCTGTATCTGAGCCACAGCTTTCCTGTTTTCTCGCCAATAAGTCCAGTTATATTATCCAGTGTGACATGTTTCACTTGGTGGTTCCTGTAAGTCATTTGTAACTTACGTGATTCATTGGAATATGAAACGACTAATATAATTTCTTCGAGAGGCACCTTAGAAGTTGTGAAGATGAAGGAAAACCAAGTTTTATTGATAGTCAACTTTATTGCAATGAGAGTGACATTTCAGTATAGGTACTAACACTGTAGTCAAGCAAGTGATGCTTGATAATGGTGTTAGTATCTACACCAAACCTTCGCACTCATTGCGATAAAGAAGTTTACTATCCATAAAACTTGTTTTTCCAACAAATATAATGTTAATCACATTCTGTCAAATTATAAAAAATATACATGGTTGTCTGACAATTTGGTCTGTATCTTAATTGTTTTACACTTCAGACATCTGCAGTAGTCATCCATGCATGCATGATGGCACATGTGTGTACAGTGGCCTCAACTCATTCACTTGCCAGTGCAAGGCACGGTACCTTGGTTCCAAGTGTGAAGTGGACACTAACCCATGCCAGGACAGTCCTTGCCTGCATCAAGGTACACTTTCAAAAGTTATCTGTATGTACTCTACTTTTGGTAAATATAAAGATTTTCTGTGACTATTGAACTGCCACACTATTTTTGACGAATGAAAAGATTATTTCTTGTTAATAACTGTAACTACATTGCTTTGTTACAGGCCAATGTTTGAAGGATACAGAAGTTCCAAATGGTTTTTCCTGCAAGTGTCAAGGAAAATTCCAGGGTAAAAAGTGTGAATATGGCCAACACTGCATTCCTAGTCCCTGTCTGCATGGTGGAACCTGCATTGAGGGGCCTCACTCACATATATGCCAGTGTCCAGTAGGATATAAAGGTAATAATGATAATAATAATAATAGTGCATATATATGGCTTTATTTCCAAACAAAAGGATGCTCAAAGCGCACAATATGGTTAAATATTAACAGTCGGGGGAAAGCTTGGCGGAAGAGGAAAGTTTTTAGTAAGGATTTGAAAGATGACAAGGTTTGAGAGTCTTTGAGTTGTTGGGGCTGATTATTCCACTCAGTAGCTGCAGCATATACAAATGATCTCCGCCATAGCGGACAGTGTTTGTTTTGGGGACAACAAGGAGAGACTTGGTCTGGGGTCTGAGATTGGTCGAAAACATCACGTCCTGTGTCAAACTAAAAATAGCCTGGCACACCAAGGGTATACTTCAGAACAGGATAACAGCGTGAACAATACACCGAAGTGCTGTCACATAACTGTAGTTATGATTATAGATATTTTACATTGATAGAGCAAAACTTGCAATTAGAATTACACAAATACTATACTTTTCCGATCACTGCATCAGAATTCATCTAAAAATCACTGGTAGATCACGGGGGCGTGTGCACAGCTGATTGCTATTCCCGGCTCTCTATACACAAAGTGAATCAGTTTATGACAATCCAAATGGAGGGGCCAAGATCTAAGGAATTTCCCTATGATGCTGCTGTTGCAGCATGGAAAGCTAAGAAAGAGAGAAGTTTATTTCACAAGTGTTGAAACAAAGGCCAGGTAAGAAAACTCATAGCGGGGATGTCCCCCTTAATCCCGAATTCCTGGATGCAACACTGCATTTCAGAGGCAATCGTCAATCAACCGCCAAACTACTCTCCGAGGGTCATATCCTCACTAATACAAAGCATCCTCTACTTACCTCCAAGGGTTGAATCCTGGTCAGACTGCCATGTGTCATATTTGCAACAGAGTATCCTGCACCTCATCCACAATGTCATTCTTCAGTTCTCATAATAATAGTATGTTAGCTGTACTTTCATTTATATTGAAGACACTGAAAATAGATGTGTTCAAGTTAAAAAAGGGATCAAATATATAAAGTGATACAAACTCCCGTATCCCACCCAAATGCCAATCATATTTGGCAATTTTTAACAATGAGATCCAGAGTTTTAAGATACAGAACCAATACCAGTTTTTGGTGGAGCTTGTTTATTTTACCGACACAGACTTTGTATCTCTCTACTTGACTGGTTCAAGTGCCCTCGCAGGACATGATACGGTTACTTCTTCCGAATCCTAGTTGAGAAGAAAGGATCTTTTCGGAAAGAAGTTTGATTCCACGTCCATGCAACTTCAAAATGGAGTGTCTTGAAAAATGTCTATATGTAATTGGTGGTATGACCCCATATGGGTCACCAATAATGCCTTCATGTTAATCGTGCAATGATTCTGTGACAATACGTAGCTGCATAAGCTTCCAAATGTTGTTGTTTTTTTGGTTGAACTTTGTATACAATCACGTTTACATCTTAATACAAGTTTAATCCATAAGAATCCTCAATTCCACATGGAATCTTCCTGGATCTTCATGTTCTTGGCTTAAGTTTCATCTAATTCTCATCTGTGTTGTAAGAACAGCCAATAAATATGATTGCAATTAGGCTCTTGGAAGCCCCCGGACATATCCTTGGAAAAATGTCAAGTTACCTCTTTCTTGTATGCAATCACAGAGGTAGTACCCTGAAGATTGCAAATATATTTAGAACTTTGGAATCATTAATTTTTCCTTATCCTGACTCATGCTTATTGCTTGTCTTCTTCCTCTTGCGAACTTAGTGGAACACTTGTATCTCCTATTGAAGCTCCCTTCAATAAAACAGACGTAAAATCACTACTCACCAGAGTTGTCTCTATCTCAGTTTTGGCGGGAAACTGTGGCACCACCGTGCTCCCACGCTTCACTCTCTCCTTCTTCGCCCTGTGAGCAGGTTGTGAGAGCGCCTGTGTCTCCTATACAGCACTATATCCTTTTATTTCTTAGTTATTCCCCTCTATATTACTTTTAGAGAGGTTTAGTTAGTATCCTTCAACAATATGGTTTGATATTTAGTTGTATTTAACACTGTTTATTCACCGTTTATTTTGTCCGTGTTTGTTCAGTTGTTTACCTTTCATGAAAACCTGTTTCAATTGTAGACTTCGGTTCTCTGCTGCTGACCCTCATCAACTGTGCCCTAGCTGCACTCAGACATGTTCTTCCAGCTCGCGCTGCATTCATTGCCAGCATTTAACTAATTTTGAATTTAATAAATACCTTCTTTGCGTCCTTAGACGTGCTGCAGATAGGTCGAGACGGGTTTGTCAGGTCATGGATAAACCAGCTGAGTCCCTCACGAGTCAACTGATGTCAGACAACCCCCTTCCGTCTGGTGATACGCCGGAGAATTCCTCGGGGGACGGGCGTGGGACGATGTCCGCCACCTTCAAGAAAAGGCCTGCTACTCGGACGTCCCTTCGCCGCAGCCTAAGGCGAGGAAGTCGTCATCTACCAGCGCCCGGCTCCGCATCCCAAGGGCGTTGACCACCTCTATGGGGAAGTCAGCGCAGACCACACGGACATTTTGGCTGAGATTGTTCCGTTGACGGAACGGGGACTCTACGATTAGCAGCCGCTCATCATCCCAGAGATACTTCACAAGAAGAGGCCAGTCTCAGCAACGGTGACTTCAGCGCAGATCTCCACGCAGCCCGAGGTATCTACGCTGACGGCAGATGAGCGATCCTTGGGCCATATCGCTATCACCGCAGAAAGGGCAGCTCCTCTACCACCGCAGACCTTCAACCCGGGGGACTTCATGCAGCAGTTTTCCCAACATATCATGGAAATGATGGAGCAGCGCTTCGGACTGGAGAGGGTATCACAGCCAGGCTGCAGAGAGGACCTGAGCCTTCGCGAAGGCTCCAACGCAGACGACGCTTCTGAGAGGCCCTCCACCAACGTGGCGTCTGGGATAAGATCTACCCTTCAGGACCAGCCTGCGAGAAGGACATCTCACCCATCCCCTGCTGCGGACTCGGACGATCAGCATTCGCGAAGGACGACCTCGCCCATCCCCTGCTGCGGACTCGGGCGATCAGCATTCGCGAAGGCACTCGCGAAGGACGACTCGCCCATCCCCGGATACGGACTCGGACGACCAGCATTCTTGAAGACACTCGCGAAGGACCAGTCGCCTATCCCCTGATGCGGACTCAGATGATCAGCGTTCGCGAAAGGCACTCACGAAGGACTTCGGATACAATCTCCAAGGCTACTTCCGCATCACGCAGATCGTCGAGGGATTCTCCGAGGCATTCGCGAACCAATAGTCGCTCATCTCCGCGCAGGTCTCCGCGCAGGTCACCCTACAGACCCAGTTCTCCGGGCTCCTCCCCTCGCCGATCTCCACGCAGGTCTCCACGAAGGTCGCCCCGCAGGTCTCCACGCAGGTCCCCGCAGTCGCGAAGGTCACCACCCAGATCACCGCTGGAGGAGAAACAACATCCTTTACTCAGCAATCCTGTCACTGAGGATCATCTTCTCTGACTCCGAGATACGCTACTGGATGGCCAACGGTCTGGACTTGGCGTCGCCCTCTAAGGACGAGAATACAGCTCATACCTATCTCATGCAGGATGAGGACGTCGACACGATCACTCTCCCACCGATTCATCCCATCGCAGCGGTTCCACAGAACTTGGACGCGGCCTTCAAGAATGCCACGAAAGCCCAGGCGCCGCATCTGCCACAGTTCAACGCCAAAAAGTTCTCATCCCATAACATGGATTCGTTCCTCAAAGCACAGGACATCGACGAGAACTTCAAAGTCATCAGCGATGCCAAGGCCAAGTCTTACAAGATCGAAGACAAGAAGTTGGCACAAGTCGAAACGATGACCAGGAGGACGTTCTTCGGCCATAACAGATCAAGAACAGTCAACGAAACACTCATTGCTAAGTTCCAGGACTCTACTGCGGAAGAAGACAGGATGATATACTCTGCACTCCTTATGCAGAAGAAGGACCAACAATTTATGACGGACCATCTCTCATCCATCTCCGCAGCACTGACACTAGCACGACGACTAGGTCTCCTCGCCTCCTGCACCTGGGGTGAACGCTTCACCAAGTCACTCTACACAGCCCCGTGGTCAACTCCATCCATCCTCGCTGGAGAAATTGACGAGGTCGCCAAGGAAGTTACCAAAGACTCCAGAGAGGTCCTCATGGTCAAGTCCATAGATACACTGGCCAGCGTCAGGCAATCATCCCAGCGCTACTCGGGTAGGTCGAAGTTCGCCGGGATCCAGAAGGCACGGGACAAGAAAATGAGTACCTCCAGAGGCGGAAAAGATTCTTTTCGTAGCCCAGCCGGCACCTATAGAGAGGGCGACCGGACGAGGCAGGGCACCCAGAGGCGTCAGGGATCATCGACGATGAAAAGGGGTTCGGAACGACTGGAGTCTTCCACCCCCAGCCGTTCCCGTACAACCTTCACAAGTGGGTGGACGTCTTCAACGGTACTGGGGAATACTTCAAGATCCGTTTGTATCCAACATCCTAAGAGACGGATATCGCATACAACTACAGGCAGCTCCGCCGCTTACAGTCGACCCTCACGAGTTCGACTTCAAGACCCATCAGACAGAGAGTGTTACGAGAGGCGGTCACATCTCTACTAGAGAAGCAAGCCATAGAAGTCATGGATCCAGCCCACATCACACCAGGGTTCTACTCCCCAGTTTTCCTAGTGCCCAAGAAAAACTCCAAAGAAAAGTTCCGACTTATCTACAATATGAGGGCGTTCAACAGAGACTATCTAAGCAGACCTCCCAAGTTCCGCATGATACATCTACCTCAATTACTCCACCTCATCCGTCCGATGGACTACATGGCCAGCATAGATCTACAGGACGCCTACCTGCATATTCCTGTACATCCGGCCTCAAGGAAGTACCTCAGGTTTACACTGGACGGTCTACACTACCAATGGAAGGTCCTGCCATTTAGAATATCGTCGGCCCCCTGGTTGTTTACAAGGGTGACGAAGCCCATAGTCGCATACCTACATCATCGAGGTCTACGCAGTGCCTTCTACCTCGACGACGGGATTCAAGTACATCACGATCCCAAGCGTCTCAGACTACAGCTGGACTTCACCATCAGACTGCTTACACAACTGGGGTGGCTAGTGAATCTACTCAAATCGGACCTAGAACCTACGCAGGACCTGCAGTTCCTAGGCATCAGATTTCTCACGACGCAGAACCGCATCGTCGTACCAGAGGACCGCTGGCTCAAGATTCAACAGACAATCTCACAAGCCCTACTCTCTCCGTGGCCACTACGACAATGGCAGAGTCTGTTGGGTCTCCTCACGTCCGCACAAGACATGCGGCCAGAGGGAGGTTACAACTACGCCCGCTACAGGTCTTCATCAATGCTCATCTCGACGACCCGGCCCCCTTCGGTCTCCCAGACTACCTCAGACCTCATCTACTATGGTGGACCCAGAGATCGAATGTTTGCGAAGGCACCTATTTAGCAGAGCCAGAGTGCAAGACTCATCTGTACGTGGACGCGTCACTCCAAGGTTGGGGAGCACATCTCGACAACTTTGTGGCGGCCGGGAGATGGAACAACGAGGAGAAAAGTCTGCACATCAACATGCTGGAAATGAAAGCAGTAGTCAACGCCATATACCACTGGACCAACATTCTACAGAATGCGCATCTAATGGTACACACGGACAACTCCACAGTGGCGTTTTACATAAACAAGCAAGGATCAACACGATCATCGAACCTGCTGGACCTCTGCTTTCAACTGTTCGACCTAACCGACGATCTGAACATCCACATCAGAGCATGCCACATTCCAGGAGCCAAGAATGTCATAGCAGACGCCCTCTCCCGTCCAACTCAACCGTCTCCAACAGAATGGATGTTACATCCCGAGATCTTCAAACAGATCATCAAGGAGATGGGAGCCCCACTAATAGACCTCTTCGCCACAAGCTTCAACAATCAGCTGACAACATTCGTCTCACCAGTACTAGATCCACAAGCGTGGGCAGCGGATGCTCTCAGCATATCCTGGGAAGGACTAAACGCGTACGCGTTTTCACCGCCTGCTCTAGTACCGAGGGTGTTGCAGAAAATCAGCCAGACCAAGAACCTCCAACTGATTTTGGTCGGGCCCTACTGGCCAGCGAGAGTGTGGTTTCCCATTCTCATACAAGAACTAAGACCACCACAGCTGCAACTACCAGAGTGGCCGAATCTACTAGTACATCCTCACACACAGCAGGCACACGGCAACCCAGGGGCATTCCGACTACACGTGTGGACTGTATCAAGGCGTGCTTGAACAAGAGAGGGTACTCCGCCAGGGCAGCGAAAGCAGTGACACTAGCTCTACGCCAAGTCTACCCGCATAACAATGCGGCGACAAGTGGCGAAGCTTCGTGACATACGCTGCAAGGAACGGTTTTTCAGCTAGAAAAGCGACACACCCTCAAGTGGCGGACTACATTTGTCACCTACGGCAAACAAAACGGTTAAAAGGGTCTACACTCTCAACATACCTAGCGGCATTGAGCTCAGTCATCACTATGAGGACAGGTGCCAAGCTAACGAAAGTACCAGAGTTACTGGCCTTGCTACGCTCTTATAAATTGGAGGACCAACAACAGAGATTCAAAGCTCCGGTGGGACCTCAGCGTTGTTCTCTGACATCTCACCAGTGACGTCTACGAACCATTAGACAGGACATCCTTCGAACTCTTGACACATAAGACGCTGTTCCTGCTATCCCTAGCAACAGCAGTCAGGATGTCGGAAATACATGCTCTGGACTACGAGAGAACACGCTTTGATGAAAATCAAAACACAGTGCATATGGGACTACGATGGGATTTCATCGCAAAGAATCAACTGCCAGGTCAACCGAACAGACAATTCCACGTCCCAGCATTATCCTCTGTCCTTGGACCACAAGATACCCACGACCTATCACCTATCCTTGTGCCCAGTGAGAGCATTAAAATTATATCTACAACGATCCAGAGTCAGGAGATGCAAGTTCAAGCGACTTTTCGTCCTGATATCAACAGCGACACAGACGGAAGTCTCCCGCATTACGATATCAATCTGGATTAGAACTGTCATACTACGGGCCTACAAAGCAGCAGGACTAGATCCTCCAAGAGCCTCCAACCCACACGAAGTTAGAGCCCTGGCGTCAACACTCGCTCTACATGGGAATTGCTCGCTCAAGACGATAATGGAGGGCTGCTTTTGGAAATCAGACATGGTGTTTGCAAACCACTACCTGAGGGACATCGCCACCGAGGACGCCTCTGGCATTCACCATTTCGGCCCTCTGGTTGTAGCACAACAGTTGACAGTCTCTCAAAGGCGTTGAGACGAAGTCTCGCCCTTTTATCACATGACTTACAAAGCCTACACTCAGCAGAGTTCTGCTTAAGTCTCAATGGACGTCTAACGACTAGCATAAGTGATATGACCCAGTACTTGTAAGGATACTCGTACAGGAAAGGGTCACTTCTCCACTTTGTGCTTGCATCAAAAGATGGAGTCGCAAAATCCACATAAAATGTTAACAGAAGAAAGGACCAAAAGTTAACAATTGTGGTCCCCCCATCAAAAGGCAGCTGGAAGGACAGGGTCGCAACAGCAGCAGAGATTAGCAGTAAATACAGTGCCAATACGAAGTTCCCGCAGGGGGGTATAGCTGACGTAAATCACTACATGAAATCCTAAAGTAACTTTCCCGCCTCCAATCCGTCGGATTCTACAAGCAATAAGCATGAGTCAGGATAAGGAAAATATGTAATTTTCTGAGTAAAATTGATATTTTATACTTATCCTGACTCATGAGGTAAGCCCTCCCAACCTCCCCACTAGACACTTTAGATTTTCCTGCAAATTCAAGTGTCGGGCTCATAGTCAGGAGAGAGTGAAGCGTGGGAGCACGGTGGCGCCACAGTTTCCCGCCAAAACTGAGATAGAGACAACTCTGGTGAGTAGTGATTTTCGTCTGTTTTATTGAAGGGAGCTTCAATAGGAGATACAAGTGTTCCACTAAGTTCGCAAGAGGAAGAAGACAAGCAATAAGCATGAGTCAGGATAAGTATAAAATATCAATTTTACTCAGAAAATTACATATTTGATTTATTCACATTTCATGAGGAACTTATGTATATGAAATATAGAATGCTAAAATCTAAAAACAAGTACCGGTAAGATAGAATTGGATGAGGCTTGATTCCTCTGAATGACTATTGCATTACTTCAGGTGTCCAGTGCGAGATGACGGCAGACATCTGCCATAACAATCCATGTCAACATGGCAGTACATGCCATGTGTATGCAGGTGGAACATACTACTGCAACTGCACCATGGACAGGAAGGGGAGACACTGTGAGGACCTCATATTGCCAGTCATCACTGGGGGCATCAAGGCTGAAGAAATATATGGCATTGCAGGTAGGAAACACCTCCATCATTTTTGTCTGTTGAAAATGTGTCAGATATTGGTATGCTTGGAACAGGAATACTTGTTACTTTCAAACATTTAAAAAAATTGATCTATTCCCAAAGGTACAGGTGACTGAGGATCGACCTGCCCCTCCAGACATTCTGATAGCTAGACATAAGCATGGAAACAGTTGGCATGACAAGAATTTAAGAATTTAATGATTAGTTTCATTTACTAATAGACTGATCCTGTCAGGGCCGGAGAGCCACACCCACAAACCCACCACTGTATTTGCAAAGGCGTCACTGCTGGCAAAACTTCATTGCAAGGGTGTTTGCTCCTAAACCATCAAATATTTCTTGTTGAAACTTGCTATACATATCCATCCAGCAAAGTGGTCCCTTTTGTTGAATTAGGATAACTTTTTTTAGTTAATGTTTTCATGACAACCGACTGGACCATTGAATATTTCACAATGAAATTTACTGTACAGATCTGCCTTATAACGGAGTAGTGCCTTTTCATGATGTGGGATTTCTGGGGTTTTCAAATGTTTTCATGACACCAAACTGCTTGCTTCCGGAGCAGAAATCCAAAACTGTGGAATATTTCTTGAAACTTGCCTTAAAGATGATTCTTATGTGAACTGATCCATTTGGAATTTTCTGTTTTAAATGTTCTGTTTTTTGCATTAAATTATTCCACACCTTACAATCAACCTTTCAAAAGACCAAAATCGTTAAGAATTTAATTATGGTGTCATACTTGTTTATTAGTCTCGGAAATGTATGTGAATAATGCTTGAATGTTGATACTGACAGCAAATAATATTAGACTAGATTGATGATTAGATTGCATGTATAGTTTCAAGTGCACTGTTGTTTCAGGTGTTGGAGCTGGACTTATCTTCATTGTGCTTATCTTTGTCATGTGCCGTATGTGGAGGAGAAAGAAACGAGAACGTAGAAGGAACAATATCACCTCTGGTATTGCAAGTGGAGATGATGAAATTCAGTATCATGGCATGAAAGAACATGAGATGAAACGCAAGTTGAGCAACCCAGATATGGCTGCTGTTCACACTTACACTCCACAACCTCCCCCTGTGCCCACAAGACCGGCTTCCTACACTCCAAGTACACATGACTCACTGAACACGCTCAACAACTTTGACACTGTCAGAAACTATGGCAGTGCTGCAGATGAGTTGGAGACAACAGGTATCCATAACATCCCAACATTCCAGGAATACCTGCAGACGTTCCAGTCTTCACATCGAAGCAGCCCAATAATTCCATCAGGGCTTCCTCCACCCCCAAGGTCTAATGCACCCTCAGATACAGATTCCATTCAGAAACAACCATGGGAGTTTGAGTACCCGAATATTTTGGAGAATTACTCAGAAGGTAATTCTCATTTATTAATGTTATCTCATAGCATTTAGACCCAATCTGCTGTTTTGACCTTGAATGAATTTACGTGTCGGAAGCCCAGATTTGGGATTGATGACCTTGGCAATGGTGTCCCTAGAAAATTGTCACATAATTCTTTTCCAACTTTAACCGTGAACCTTTCAGTATTATAATATATATTCTTGAAATCCTGCACACAAAAGACCTGGTGCCTTTTGCTATTTATAGGGGTGTTTAGAATGTATATTTTATTGTCATGAACAGATACTGAATATTTACTCTTGGAATTCAGACAGAAAGATAAGAGAGAAATTGTCTCCTCAAGTTGGACTTAAGTAACATACTAGTTGTTCTTTCATTATTGTGGGGCCAGATGGATTGTCATCATCTCATCACACCTGTTGAAGTGGTACTGGTGTAGTTCCTGCACCAATATGGTTTTCTGGTGTGGAATAATATGACTCAAGTTCACCGAGTCTGAATCAGTTTGTGGAAGTTATTCCAGAGTTATCACTTCCAATTAGTGATGTAAGTCCACATATGAGTCAACATAAGGACAACAAATATACGGAAAATGAACCTTGAACAGTAGATAACTGTTGAATGTATTTAATGTATTGTTGTCCTTGCAGTTGACAAAAAACAAGTGACAAAGTCAATGCCTGGCATGGTGCCTGTTGCTCAGTGTGGACTCCAGCGACAGGATGCAAGTTCCTACAGTAGTTTGCCCGTATCAGAGAGTGAAGAGGACCTGAATGGTAAGTCACACAACCCAACTCAAAATACAAATGTAAAATATAATAATGGAAATGATGCAAATTGTTTAATCATATCTTCTAGGACCTTACAGGTTGTTTGTTGAGAAACAGGCCTAGTACAGATTCTTTGCTGCGGGACTCTGTGTGCATGTGCAATTCAGGAACCCTTACCTCGTTCCTGCTTGTGCTGACAACAAAAATGCCCTAACACATAAATTGATATTGTCAGGCTGTATATATTTGTATCCTCAGGTAACATTTCTCGGTGAGTTAAACTAGTTATTTCTTAAACGTGTTGTGGTAATTTATGGGGCGGTGGGGTAGCCTAGTGGTTAAAGCGTTGGCTCGTCACGCCGAAGACCCGGGTTCGATTCCCCACATGGGCACAATGTGTTAAGCCCATTTCTGGTGTCCCCCGCCGTGATATTGCTGGAATATTGCTAAAAGCGGCGTAAAACTAAACTCAGTCAGTCAGTCAGTGTGGTAATTTATTGTTGGTCAAGTGGGTGTCTCTCATTTGTCGGTTTATGACAAGTGTGGACACATCACGTTAATGCTAACACTCAAGCCTCCTGCTGATACAAGTGTATGAACAATACCTCAGCTTCCAATCTGCATCACTTTCACAAGAGGTTTTTGCACAGGACTTGGATTCATGCAAGAAGGCCGTAAGTGAAGAAACCGATTCGCAGATTACATCATCACTGACTTTGGATGGGTACTATACAGTGATATTTGGTCAATAACTGTTGGTCCAGCTGAAGTTTGATATCATGCTGTCGACTGAGAACCTGAGACACTATTATCACTGGCTGTGGCTGTGCAGGCTAGTTGAAGTTCCTGAGTGAGGAGTATGGTTGGTCGTTGCCAGTGGAGGAGAGTGGCTCTATCCCCACGAGGACTGGGCCAGGTCCATTGTTGGTGGCACGAGTGATCACCTACCTGGAGTAATGGACAGTCAGCAACCTTCAAACTCCTACTGAATGGAAGAGGCAAAAGTTGTTTGAGGATTTGCCTTTGGTTGTCATGCTCTAACACAGAACCATTGAGGGATACCATTCTGCCCTTACATCAGTTCCTCAGCTTTAGATACATCAGACTGAAGATCATCCTACCCTCAAGTGTCTGTGAGATTGTTTCTACTTGAGGATGTCAGGCAGAACCTCACTGGTGTAATTAGCACACTAAGAGGCTACATTTGAACCTTTTTCTTCATTTTGCTTCAAACAATGAGGAAAACAGTTTTCCTTCTGGCCATAGTCATCTCATCTCATCATGTCAGCCACAACAGCTAGGGTATCCAAACTGTGTGCTTTAGATTTATATGTTATGAAAGAAACTGAGGATTGGAGAACTTCAGCTATCTGTGCCTCTCCAGATTTTCTGGCAAAGAATAAGTGTACATCACCTGGATGGTTGGGACAAAAGCTTTATGCAGTTATGGCAACATCACTACAGTGTTCATACTCTTTCCATCTTGAATACACACAAGGTATAGTAAATGTCTTTTCACTTGATGCAAGCCAGCCATGAATAAGCACATATCTAAAGCAACTGTGGCAGGTTAGCTTTGGACAACCATCTGAGCCATTTACTGTCTACACCCATGTTTGGAACCCTCACAGACTGGAAGATGAGATCCTTATCAACTAGTCTGTCAATGTCATATGGAAAACTCTCCATGAAACTAGTCATAACCAAATCTAACAATACATTTACAGTCTTTTATATAAGGGGTATTGACTCCATCTGCTGTGGCATACATAGCCTCATCATCCAGTAGCTCCTTCTACCTTAGCAGGAAAAAGGGAGCCACAAACCTTGAAAGGTAGTTCACGTTTTGAACTTGCTATCAACCAAGGATTGTCAAGGACAAATGAAGGCTTACCCGCTGCAAGCTCAAAATGTCTACACGAGGAAGTTCAAATGGATCTAAGCCCTATTAATGATTAATGACTTCTGATTATTAAATTTCAGAACCAATCATAATGTTTAGGATACATTCTGGCACTGACGTTATAAAGGTTCGTTTATGACTGAGATAACTGTTGATAATTCAAAGAATACTACGTCTTTTATACTGTGATAAATCCTGCATTTTGGCCATCTTCACACTGTGAAAGTCGTAATGATATCTTGGATTTTGATTGAAACTTCTGTCAGAAAATAGCTTTACCAAATATAGTGTGTAGGCAACTTATTCTGTTTTCTTCAGTTTTATCCATAGTGGTATGTAACAGTTGTCTAGATTCAACCTTGGATAGGACCTCCCATCTTCGATAATCTCCAGGGTATACGTTACGATCACTCTCCACTATACCCTGGATGCATCCACGGTTGGCCCGATAATTATATTACCTCCCTTTGCTGGCTCCACATTCTCACAGTAGCCAATCAGCTAAGCCGCCATTACATCCCAGCTTGCCAGTGTCAACAAAGATAGCGGTCGCAGTCGCGAAGGTTTGTTCGCAGTGCCACTCAGATTTTTTGGGAAATCATACAGACAAATTGACAGATCTGAAACTTTAAAAAAATATATAAAAGAACTCCTTCTACTTCTTTCAGAGTACCTCTGCATCAATTGTGTTGCCAAGTTTAAACGGTTAGATAATTTAAAAAGCGAAGGTGAGTTGTGATTGGTTCGCTCAACTTCCCAGCATAGACACCTGATTTGATATAAAGCCAGCCAAGGTAGGTAATAAAATCATCGGGTCAAGCCGTGGATGCATCCAGGGTGTAGTAGAGAGTGATCGTAATGTATACCCTGGAGATTATCGAGGATGAGGACCTCCTTGCATAAAAGTTTTCCTCAATGATAAAGTGGAATCTCATTTTGTCCAGTGTAAATTGTCAGGAGCACAGAAAAAACGTATGTTAACCAGCAGAGTGTGGTAAAATAGCCAGTGCATATATGTTGTTACAAAACTTTAACCCTACAGTGGTCATTGGAGCTGATAAGCAATCTTATGGTCACTGTGTGTTTTACAACAAGGTTCCTCCCATCCTGTTATGGTTTAGAAGGAAGTTTAACATAGTTCAGATTTATCTGAAGTTGATGAAGACTCCTGTGCCAGCAAATTATCTGCTGTAGTGCCATGCCATCTTGTTCGTTAAATCTAGTCGTTAACTGGATACAAATGGTGGTAGGTGTTTAGTTCAGTAAAGCCCCTCAAGGATGATAAATAATATATCCCTCCAACCAAGATGACTGACATTTTTTTTCATTTAAACCAAATACTGCCGCAGTGAGACTTTACTATCTGTATAACCTTTCAGGCTGTTTAAAAATAGACATGAGGTGAATCCTTGCCATTCTTTTTGTCTGTTATGTTGGAGAAATCAATTATCATGCACCCTTTGTAAAATCAAAATCTGCAAATTTCATATGCTAACCAGTCAGTGTTCAGAAATATGCATTGGAATATAGACAGTAGCAAAGGTTCTTGTCACACAAAGTTGCATCAACTAGCAAATCAGCTGATGAGCACTTGTAGGCAGTAGATGAGCTATTGCTCCTTTGAGGTAGGTGGAGTTCTGGTTAGAAATGGCCCTAACTTGAAATGGAAGTGGTGATCATACTTGGTGCCTTTGTGAATTGTGTGTCATCAAAACCTGCCAGTGTGGATCATTGCTCACAATAGCTATCACAGGATTGTCTGATACAGCCCTACTTTTATTACCCACGTGGTCAACGTATGGGTAGTTCCATACTAATCTCGTACATCACACCAGTGTCGTATCGCATTGACTTGTGTCGTGTGGACTTGACCTGAGATTCTAACGAGTTGATTGGATAGCCAATGACCTCTCAATTAGGTCACGTTGTGACGGAACTACTTTTCATTCATAACAAACACGTGAATTCATTCAATCTACAACTTAAATGCATTGTGGGAATTTAACATTGCGAACGTTGCTGTATCGCTGTTTAATTGTGAGACGAACTGAGACATTATATCCGTGGAAAAACATAAACGCAATGTTTCCACCAGTGATGTCAGCCGAGTGAAGCAACTGCAACCTAAGAGATGGGGTGCTACGGAGTAGTTTAATGTAGGAGGCTGTACGAGGCGATGACAACTGACATGCATCGTGACGTTGGTTACCAAGGGGGCAGACGAGCAAGGCTTAGTGACGTCATTACAGTGTGACGTCATGCAAAAAGTGTACTACAGAACAACATTCTTCCGCAACCTCTTTATGAAACTGGTTTCGGTTTGAAACGATAAAAATAACAAAAATACGCCATTTTGTCAATTTAATGCATGTAAGACGTGGGTAAGAAATAAAATACCACACTCGATCTCATAACATACGAATAATACAAAACTTGTGACCTTACTATGGTTTCTGACCTCGCTTTCGCTCGGTCAGATACCATAGGAAGGACAATCGTTTCTTATAATTTGTATGTAAAGAGACCTTGTGTAGTATTCTCTATATATGCTGCCATGTACAGGTAATGTTTCAGAGTACAGCATTAAATAACAAAGTAAATAAACAAATATACCAGCTAAAAGTGTCGCATGTACAATTTTGGGCCTGTGTTTTCCAAACTTGAATTTATGTAATTTGATGTGAAATGCCATGTAGGCTTCTCATTATGTTAGCTAGAGGCAAGGTAGTCAAAATCTGTAGTGATATTTTAGTAGCAGTATACTTCACCAAACAAAAGGTGATGCTTTCACACTGGAAATATGTAATCATTTCTGTTTCCTCCTTGAAATGATGAAGAGGCTGCATCTAATATTACAAATGTCACAGGTAGTTAAGAACTGTAAGATACATCATTCCTCATGTATGAATGTTGTTACTCATGAAATTCTTCTTACCTTTCTATCCAGCTAAACGTGGGAGAAGGAAAGGTAGACATTGCTGTGCTGCCTGTGTGATCTGTGTTATACTGGTGCATGAGTATATAGTCTTGTCCTTATTTCTCTATCTGCCAGGGAGTAAAAGCCAGCCAGGACATAATTAGTGACATCTCTATCATGTAGTGCATAGCAATTGATGGCAACTAAATCTCCTGCCAAAGAGTAACCTTGTTTTAAGTCTTTGTGCATGTTTTGTGTTCACAGTTACCTCAAAAGTATGGAGAAATGTGGCTCTGATTATTCATAGATTTTTTTCCCCATGTTAAAATTAGATAAAGTTTCATTTCCCATTAAGTCTGTTTTGAATTCCTGCAGTTTGATGAAGCAATTACCCCTGTTCATGTGTTCTGAATAAATCACCTGTTTCTATTGTGAACGTGTATCCCACCATTTCTCTAAAGCCTGTCATTACTTTAAGTGCATCCCTTGTGGTGTTTCCTTTGTTGAGTGCACCATTCATAAATTGCCACTTTTTGTTTTCTCTGCCAAACTGTCTACTCTCTTTTCAACGTGTCTTAGCTTCTGGTATCTGTGTTGGCACACATTCAGTTCATATTTAAATAGTACACTTCTGTGTCAAGAGCAGCAGGTAATAACTTCTGGACATATCACACATCTCATTTTTCAATATATTTTAAGTGTTAATCTTGACATGGCTATATTTAAAAATCTTCTTGTATACTGCCAAAATGAACAAACTGTAATTTGGCATGTACGGTTTGTTGGCATGATAATGTGTTCAAGTTGTTAATGCTTAATTTAAAATCATTGCCTGGAATGTAATATTAACATTAATGCCTCTAAATTTTACCTGAGAACATTTTTAAAAATCCATGTTTTGAGCAAAATTAACTGTTTTTAAAAGATGTTGATACAAAGCAAGGTCAATTAGCCTTTTAGGGACCATGTTATTTCTTATGAGATTCAACATTGGTGTAATGTTTTTTCTGTTGTTTAAAATGTTACCTTCATTTGACCTTGGTCCTGTTTTCAGTAAAGGTGATAATTCTTGTCATGGTCAATGTCAAAACTGCAATTCCTTATGTTTGAAATATCTTCTCAGAAACTGCAGCATAAATGAGTCCGAGGCTTTACATAACTTGATGAAACCTCTGTTCACAGATAAAGTCATTCCTCGCAATAATGCCATTCTAAATACCATGGTGTAAAGAATGGCTCCAACGTTACCTGTTGCTTGTTATGCATTGTATGTGCATGTGTTTTTCCATCACCATCAATCATGCCATTTTCATGGGTTTTATTAAAGTAGCTGTCCATTTGCCAGTTCAATAAGTGTCAAAACATGTTCTTCAACTGTTACTGACATTGTCAACATACTGAAGACCCTTGGCTTAGGCACCAAGTGTATACTGATTTTGACGAACCTATCAAGCCACTTTTGCTAAAAATTTACTGTGGTCTCCAATTTGAGAAAACTTCATAATGTAACATTTGCCTTCTCAATATGGGAAATGTACCGGTACTTAAATCATGTGTTTTTTCAAATGACAGAGCATTACTAAACATTCTGAAATTGTATCCGCCTGTCCAATACCTGAGTTAAGTAAGATCAGCTAATATTTGTTCACATACTATAAGACTAAACTCTACTGACTAAAGTGCTGCAAGGTTTTTGTGCTATGAGCTACTGTATACACAGCCTAATGTTAGCAAGTAATTGCAGAAAGAGTCCTTCATAACACAACTAATGGCACGGGATTAGTGCATGTGACTATGTTCTGTCTGCAGGGTTGTTCTCAGCACCACTGTAAGGTTGCGATACCTTAGTATTAGGTTATGGCTGTATTCACTAACTGCATACATTTAGCTGGCATTCATTTTCAAATTAGCTGACAGCTACACAAATGAGGAATATGTTACAATCTGAGCTCTGAAAACATACTGATTTAGTGATTTCAATATTCTAGAAAGCAATTATTTAAAATGTTAAAATGTGCTTATATGTCTGACTTTTCACCCCAGCATTCAGAGCTTGCATCCATTTACCGATTCACATATTATGTTTCCAGGCTATCACTGGGACACTTCAGACTGGGCCCCAAGACCATCACTCCCCAATATCAGTGAGGTTCCAGCTAAAGAAGTTCCTGATTCCCCAAGCTCTAGTAACAACAGTAATGAATCCAACATCCATATTAGCAACATTGAACCTGACCCAGGAACAGTAACTGATGAGCCAGACTATGTCGAAGACTCTGAGTATGTTGGAGATTCAGAGTATGGAAAATGAATTTGATATAGATGACCAAGATGACCTTCCACCCTGCTATGCAGACCATCCAAACTATCAACAAATCTTGGAATTGCGGGACATGGATGACACTTATGAACTACCTCAAAGTCTTCAAGTATCTCATCATCCAAATCACTACTTACCCAACTACAGCTTTAGTGGTCAGATTGGGCAAGACGAATGGCCTGACCCTCCAACTGATGATGATAACAGTAATGTCAGTGATGATAATGATAACGACAGTGTCATCCACTATGCCTACCAGAATGTTGGTCCTCAAAGAAATAATCTGGGTCCAGGGTACACTGCTAGGAGTGAGTATAATACAGATCATAACAGATCAGCAGCATCAATGATGGATGACATGAGTGTCTCGGCTGGTGGTTATACTTCTACTAATGGGTCATGTTCTGATATTTCTGCTTATTTGTGTGAAATCGAAGACAGTGAAATTAACCAGAGTGAGGACAGTGGTGATGAAGACCAGTCTTCACAAAGACTTCTAGCTGCCCATTTTCACACACAAGTGTGAACAGATCTTAAGAACAAGCGTTCAACCATCATTTCCCAGATCTGATGTCTGACTTTTCATGGTTGTGATCAGTTTTATTTCCTGCAGATTAGATATTGTTGTGTTTCTAAAACAGTTTGCAAAGAACATCAGTAAAAATGGACTGATGTTGATTACACTGTTGACTTTGAAATTGTGTGCCAATAGAAAATAGCAGAAGTGTAACAAGTGTGTACCATGGTGTACAGTTTCTGCAAAGAATGCAAATGTTTGTTTTTAGTGTTTTATCTAAGTTTAGAAGTCATATATCATGTACATGATAGCAGATATGTGATAATTAACATTATGTTGGGGTTTAAAGTTTCAAAGAGACTAGTCTAGCTGTGATGGTGCTGAATGTAGCTAATGCTCAGAGACTTTGATATCATTCGCTTTATCAATTTCATATATTGTGTAGTATAATTGGTACAAAATTCAAAATTTTGTTGATCATGTACAGATGTTATGAGGACATTCCAGTATGAAAAGGGTGGAGCCTGCACATGGAAGTGACCAGTCAGGTAACATTATTGTTTGGGATTTGTGAACATCTTTTCCATGTTAAAAAATCATGATGTTTTTGAACAAATTCAGAACTTTTGCACTATTTTTACATACCAGAATAATTCTGATACAATATTGCACACCTTATGAACATAATGTTTCACATAATTTATTTGGTTGTGATTATGTGTTAGTGAAGGCAGTGTTCTTGTCTAAACTCAGTGATAAGCAAGCGGTGTTGATATACAACAAAAAATATTATTTTCATATTCTTGTTGTAAATATTTCTATAGTAAATATCATTTATTGATGTAGTATTAGTGTAGCTTCCCATTGTTTGAGAAGTGTTGGATTTTGATATATCATGTTTGTCCATGACACTAAATATTTTTCAACATTTTATGGGTTTGTTTTTTTTCATTTTATTTTATTTTTTATTATGTCAGAAATATCTCAATTTTATCTCATCTGAACCAGACATTCAAATGAGCTTCTACCAGTGTCAACATCTCAAGAAACCAATGTGCTGAATTTTTACATGAATGATTCTAGTAATAATGTCTTGTAAAGTTACAGACAAGTGACATTTTCTGTGTGATTCCAAAGAGATCAATGGCCTGAAAAGGGTTGTGAAGTATACCTTGTATAACTGGAACTTTAGGCGACCTACACATAAGATCAGTGTGAAGTTGATCCATTTGTGTGCCATGTTCACTCATGTGTCTGATTTCGTGCAGATATCCAATTCATGTAGTGGATATATTTTCAGAATGCTTACACATAACAGTAGTAGGACAGTATGTCCTACATTAAATTATTGGCATATGCTATATATTCCTTGTGTTATGTTGAATTTCATCTTGGCAGATCAAGTTTTTGCATGCTGTTGTTTTGTCCTCATCAGTGTTGTGGAAATACTTGAGTGATATGACGTTCAAGATAATTTTTATGTACTCAAAACTATAGGTGGTTAATTGTACCTTTAGGAATATTTTCTGTACTGTGAATTTTGAAACACATCATACTTAGTTCAGCAGAAAAAATAGGAGCTTGACCAATGCCCATGTTTCCAATTTCAAATTGATATTATTGTATAAGCATGTAATGACTAAAATTGGGGTTTCAGATCATTGAACAATAGAAATGCATGTAAATCTCTTATTCATGATGCCAAATCACTTCCATGTAGTACTAGGCGTTATACCTGTTACTTACTAGTTGTACAACAGAGGTTTACTTTGCTTTAACATTGGACATATCTCCAACCAAATATGATACCATTTAGATTCTCCTTGCTGGTGGCAAGGTTTTCAGTTGCAGTTGGCATTTGTTTCCCACTGCAGAGGTGGTTATGGGTGTCCCAAGTACATGTGCTTCTTGAAATAGCAGTGAATTGGCTTGTTCTGTACTTTATCAAGTTTCACTGGCCCATTTACTCATGAATCATTATTAGGTATTACGTTTCATATGGGTATGCCTTGTCTGAAATTCCAATCATTTTCACAAAGATTCATATTTTTTGATACATGGCCACAAAGATTGATATTCATCTTTCCAAACTTATAATTACTGCTGGAACAAAACAATTAATATGGAAAGATGGTCCAAGCAGTTGCTCACAGAATTTTAAAAGGCATGCACCTGGTGTCCATGTTTGGAAGGATATTTTGCTTGACATTAAGTGAGCGGTGTGTAATCTGAGGTCTGTAAATATATCGGTACATGACATTAGCTTTGATCCCCTTTATAACTTTTGATATCTCAGAATGCTATTATTTGTATATTTGTATACTACTGCAAGAATTCTTTTGAGCTATCATACATTACCTTTTGGTTATTTGTATTTTTACAGCACTGTATATTATGTCTGTGCTGAACATCATGTGGTATACACAGCTAATTTCTTGTGAGAAATGTATATTTGATACCATTCACAAAATCAAATTGATCTCTTGTTTATATCCAGTGTTCTTTCCAAAAATAATTGAAAACCCTGATCTTCCATAAATGCATGATCAAAATGTGAATCAGTCACTAATAGTGTGTTCCCACCTATATTCAGTCGGTGTTTAAAGTTAATATATCATCTGACAATAGATAGAAACAAAAGATTGTAGATAATATGCTGTCAATAGAATTCAGGAGATCATGACATCATTATTGTTGAATATGGATGAATGTTTGTTGTGTTGTAAGTCTGCTTAGATAGCCTTATGATGTTATGCTCTTGCTGATTATTTTTCTTATCATTTGTACATTTTCTCTCCCAGTGATCTTGTGGAGAAGAATTGTAATATAGCATTTTGCTGAATGCAAAAAATAAAATCTATGGATCTTACTTCATTCTGTGATGTTATAATGTGGGCCAATGGGGTTAACCAATGTTAACTGGTTTTAACCTGAAATGGTGACTTCATACTGACCTTTTGGACATGAAATGTTGCAGCCTTCATGCAAAGATGTCCTACACGCATAAGCAGAAAACAATACCACTCCACAGACAGCAATGGATATTTAAGACACAGTTTGCAACATTTTGGTGATGCTTGCTTTACTCAACGTCTTCACTTTTAGTGCAAGTAAGATTCAAGAATTGAGAGAATACTTGCCCCTCAAAATCTGTTGAACTTGTAATACATCTATGAATGCTTTCCTTTTAAAGCTTCATTTGTTGGATTGTCATTTACTTATAACACTTAAGTGAATCATGTTTACTTTATAACAGTGAAAATGAATAATTTCCCCCCTGTGAAAAACTTGGTTCCAATGTGCAACATATTATGTTGTCCATTTTCTATAACATTACTCTGCATCACATGGGTGAAAGTGCTCAGATGTTTTAAGTCTTTTTGGCACTAATGACAACATAACACTCATTTGAAAACAAAAGTCATAAAAATTTGGCTACTTATACACAACTGTTGGTTGTTGCCATTGGATGCCTTCAGTAATTTTTAATATCCGAACCAGATCACTCTCAAAAAAGGTGATATTTATATATGAAATTTCTAAATAAGTGTTTGATTGTTGTAATTTTGCCATTTTAATTCTGGTTTATGTGCATGGAACGAATGCACAGCACAAAAATTCATCTTTTGAAAGTAAACATGCATTTAAGTTTCCAAAGTGTCACCATGCATGAAAATGTCATGGAGAAAAAATGGTTTACAATATGCAGTTCTGAGGAATTGTGAGCAGGGACAATGCCTCTATAAGGCCATTTTACTTTTAGATGGTCATTGGTATTTTTTAGCTTTATGAAAGAATAGTTATACCGTGACTCACTGCTGTAAATCGAAACATTGGTGAACATTGAGACGCTGTCTAATGGCAAAGTACGATCAATTGTTTTATGAGAGTGATATCAACAAATCAATTCTACACAAGATCGACCTTGAAGTGGCAGACCTAGGATTACCACTGCAGTGCAGGACAGCTACATCTGGGTACTTCATTTGCGAAATCAAAGTGTCACAGCAAATGCCACTGACAGTGCAGTGCCTGGTTTGGGGAGAGTGTTGGCGTAAAACATTAGTAATTGAGCCAGATGACCCTATATTAGCCCTGCGAGAACTACATCAATAGTTCTGGAATCTACAAAACTGGCAATGTGTATGGTTCGGTGACGACTTTCGCTTTCAGCATCAGTGATGTGACAGAAGACCACGTGTCTATTGACGTTTTGCCCAAAATTGTGTTGCCCAGGTTTTCTGCTGGGAGTGCCATGATGTGGGGAGCCATATCCTCCTCGCAGATATTTAATTTTGTGCGCCTTCAGCGCAATGTAAATGGTAATTTCATATTTTAGTTTATGCAAAGACAACAGCACTTACTCATGCATTCTTTATTGTCAATTCCAATTCAGTCACCCTGGTATCGTGTTTATTAAACACAAACTCATGCTTCTTTCGGTCTGGATCATGTTACAACAACTCTTCCCACAATTCGACTTCCTAACAGTCTGCGCATGCGTAGTACGGCGGACATGACATCGCATTGTTTACTTTTATTAACCCATCAGTCGCGCGCAGGTTCACTTTCTCCATTGTTTCAAGCCACTGAACTGTATCATCTATTGACTATTATCGGGACAGAATCCCTGTATTGCCATTGCCATCCGACTTGTAGCTGTAACGGTAGACTATCATACAGCAATCATGGCGGAGAGAAGACGAGCTCAAGCAGCCAGAAGGCGGCGTAATCGGGTTAACTAGGGTGACAGCGATAACACGGCTGAGTTACGAAAACAGCTAGCTGAACGTGGAGTCAGCGTACCAAGGAATTAGCCAAAAACCTTGTTGCTCCAGTTGTTCCAGGAGAATCAAGGCAGGAGGCCAGTAGCAGTGACCGCGTGACATCTTCGGACAGTGCGGCGGCGAGGCTGGATACTACAGTGAATGTAGATGCAGGACAAATCCAACCCCCAAATCCTGATATAGTCGCCAGGCGTACCAATCAGTCAACCTTGAATACGGTCGAGGACACCGCCACCACAACAGCCAACTTCGTGCCCCCGGTCACCGTCACAAGTCTACAACGGGAATTTGGCAGAGTTGAAGAGTATGGTGGCAAGCATTGCATGTCAACGACCAGTGCCAGCCGAAGAGGTGGATATCAGTTTCCCACTACAGCAAGGTCAAGAAGTGTCCTCAGATTCGCTGCCGCACATACACACAATGGCTCCTGCTCTCAAAAGGAGGATTCAATACGGCAAGTATTGCAACCTTACTCTAATGCATCTTGATTTGGCAATAAAAAGTAGATTCAAGACTGGCAGAATTTGATGGCAATGTATACCACTTGAAAGATGATGGCAGGTTAAACCGTTCACTCACCTTAGCGGAATTTATCCAGGCTTTTGGCATATACAAGGACATTTACTGCGAGAGCAATGGCGTTAAGCGAAAGCAGTTAGATGGACATGAGCAAACTGTGATTGAACTGGCTACAAATTACGGGGGTACCTCACATTACGATTATCACAAGTTGTTCACTGCCAGGATGGCCTCTTATGCAGAGAAAGGATGCAGCATTTGGTGGGACATGAGGGACACACGTTTGCATGGACTGTGCTCATCCGGTCGGCGGTCGAGATCATGCAATATATGCCATAGCATTACTCACAGTACAGACTTGTGTCCAGAGCGACGGATGGAGAGAGGTAGGCTAAATAACTTGGCTGACAGGACCATCTTATCAGACCGCCAGGGTGCTACTGACCGCAATGAGAGGACGGCCACGGGTTAGGTCTAACGGACGGGAGATTTGTAACAACTTCAATCACCAGGGTTTCACAAGATCCAACTGTATGTACCTTCATGTATGTATTAGGTGTCACGCCAATACCCATGGACAGGCCAATTGTATTAAGTCTCCCAGCAAGTCTAGGCGGGATACCCAAGCCTGACCATCACAACTGGAGGTAAATGTGAGAAAAGACAGTGTACTTGTTCACCCTCCACCTATTGACATACAGGCGGTTCAGACAGAACTGGCATCACACCCCTGTCCCGAGTTTGTGACATACCTTGTGCACGGGTTGCAATATGGTTTTGCCCCTGTAATGTCAGACAATCCCCAATCCACGACGGAATGTACAAACAATCTTAGTGCAACTTCAGATCCAGTGGTAGTAACAGAGGCAGTACAGGCAGAAGTAGCCAAAGGAGGTGTTAGGACCTTTTTGACAGGCACCCTATCCTGTGTACAGAATTAACCCCTTAGGTGTCGCCACCGGAAAGTATTCTGGTTGTAAAAGGTTAATTTTGGATTTGTCGGCTCCACACGACACAGATCAGACTCCCAGTATTAATGATCTTATCAGTAAGGAATCTGCCTCACTTTCATGTCACCATAGACAATGCAATTGCAATTTTAAAACAATTGGGACAAGGGGCACAAATGTGCAAAGTGGACATTACTGACGCTTTCAAGCAGATCCCCTGCACCCTAAATACTGGCCTTTCCAATGGGATGCAGAGTATCATTTCTATACCAGATTGGCCTTTGGGTGCAGGTCAAGTCCAAAGATCTTTGATGCCCTGTCACAAGCCTTGTGCTGGATGTTGCATTACAACTATGGCGTGCAAAATATTCTACATCTTTTAGACGACTTTCTGACAATTGACCCACCTGGTTATGAAGCCAGTATAACTATGAAAGCAGCCCTAGACTTGTTGACAATCTAAATTTTCCACTGGCAGTACACAAGACTGAGGGACCTGTCACGAGTCTAGAGTATTTGTGGTGAGGTGAAATTGGGTTTTACGTCGTGCTTGAGACTAGAGTATTTAGGGATCATCTTGGACTCAGAGACTATGACAGCAAGGCTACCAGATAACAAGTTGACAAGAATATTGGCTGTGTTAAGTTCATTCTCGGAATAAGTGCACAAAGAGAGAGTTGCTGTCATTTTGCTGGGACACTTAAACTATGCGTGTCGTGTGGTTATCCTGGGCAGATCGTTCCTGTCGTACCTGATTCGACTGTCAACTCGGTTACCAAGTTACACCATCATATCAGGCTATCTAGGGAATGTCGGATAGAAATACATATGTGGGACAAATTTCTGAACCAGTGGAACAGCATTTTTTTTTCCATGATGAACACGTGACTCCGGCAGGCGATTTCAACCTATTCACGGATGCAGCTGGGGGTGTAGGACACGGAGGATACTTCAATGGGGCATGGTTTGCCCAGGCTTGGCCTCTCGATGTAAAGAACTTTCCAGATGCAGCACAATCCATGGCCTTTTTAGAGCTCTATCCTATTGTGGTGTCGTCCATTCTCTGGGGACACAAGTGGTCAAAGAAGAGAGTATTGTTTCACTGTGACAATATCGCTACTGTGCATATAATTAGGAAAGGCAGATCAAAATGTATTAACATTATGTCGCTGATGCGAACCCTCACATGGCAAGCAGCTATTCATAATTTCATCGTGCTGGCAGAACATGTTCCAGGCGCACAAAATAACATATTCATCCAACGCCCTGCCCGCCCAGCTCACAAGTAATGTGGACCTGAACAGATATCTGGATACCTTGTGGTCAGCAGCAATCAGCCAACACACAGCATGTTCTACAGGTTTCCAGTGTTATCTCAAGTTCATGATGAGGTTCAGTTTGTTTTCCACACTGGGGGGTAGCCGCGCTGCCACCTATGAATGAAGCCTACCTTCAGTAGTTCATAGCTCACTGCTTCGGTGCCCTTAAACTCTAACACGACACAGTTAAAACGTACCTGGCAGGTCCTTATAATGATCTTGTGATGGAGAGTGTATGTGTCTCTCAGCTTTCTTCGGATTCGTTCGATGTGGAGAATTTACATATCGTGTGCT